AAAAAGAGGCTCCAAACCTCCCACCCTCCAGTCTGACTGCTGAGGGCTCTCTCTTCCGGCTCTGCGGTGGTGCCCACCCCCACACCACATCCCCCTGGGCGTGGCTGGGCATCCTCATTCCAAGGGGAGAGGATGACTCCACTTCTGGGAGCTCATCCAGGAGGAACTGTAAGCTGATTTGGGAAGGATGACACATGGAGGTGTGCCAAGTGCTATCCTGGAAACTTTCCTTTTGAAACCTGGGCATCAGGTAACAAGATAACATGTGTATCTAGCCTGTCATTGGTGCTTAGCATATGTTAGCCACATGCACACATACCTTACCTCATTTAACCCTTATGACAAACCCACAATGTAAGTCTCTGCAGCCCGTTTCACAGATGAGGCTATCAAGGCACAGAGGGGGTGGCCCCAGTGGGCCAGCATCACAGCCAAGTGAATGTCAGTGCTGAGCTTTGACTCCAAGTTTCAATGACTCAGAGCCCAGCTGTGTCCTCCTGTGCTAGCCAAGGAGATGCTTCTTGGTGAACCAAAAGCTTATACACGCAATTACCTCTCAAAGAGAATGGAGGCTGAATCTCCTGGGGAGGGGGGGCACAGGGCAAAGGCATGGGTAGACCCAGGGTTTTCCTAGTGGAGGCATCTGTTGCAGGTCAGAAAGTGCAGAGAGGAGGGGTGTTGAGGATGGGAGCTGATCCCGGCTGCTGGGCTAGGAGATGGAAGACCAGAGCTGTGTTCTATTTCTGCTGTCCCATTGTGACAGAGGGCAGTTCCTGGGCCCCTCTGGGCTTTCCTTCCCTCATCTGTGGAACAGAGCATCTTTCAGTCCTTGCTGGTTCTCACTGTCAAGGGAAGCCAGAAGCTCCAGCACCAAACTTCTCATTAACTAAAAAATTCCTAGGCTGTGACTGTTGGTTCTTTCTGGGTAACCTGAGCACAGCCCAGCCCCTGAGCAGGGACTGGCCACGTGGAGCCCTGGACATGGCTCAGGAGTTCATTCTTGCTCTGGTCCTATCTTAACTTTTAAAAAATGAGTGAATTTATTTGTGGCTGCGCTGGGTCTTTGTTGCTGCACGTGGGCTTTCTCTAGTTGCAGCGAGCAGGGGCTACTCTTGGTTGCAGTGTGCAGGCTCCTCGTTGCGGTGGCGTCTCTTGTTGTGGAGCACAGGCTCCAGGGCACGCAGGCTTCAGTAGTAGTGGCACACGTGCTTAGTCGCTCCGCAGCATGTGGGATCTTCCTGGACTAGGGATCGAACCTGTGTCCCCTGCACTGGTAGATGCTCTCTTAACCACTGGACCACCAGGGAAATCCCTTTAATATGCTTTGTTTGTTTTTGTGGGATCTTAGTTCCTGGACTGGGAGTCAATTCTGGGCCCTCAGCAGTGGAAGTATGAACTCCTAACTACTGAACTGCCAGGAAGTTACCCCTATTTTAGGTTTGACCTGTCACAGGCTGGGCTCTGCAGATGCTGAGATGGAGCTCAGAGGGCGAAAGGAAAAGAGGAGGAGCCAGGTGAGGGCAGAAGAGCCATCAGACCGGGGTGCAGGCCTGCCTGCCACCTCTCTGCCAGCCCAGGGAGAGATGGCCAGGCCCTGGTCCCACTGTCTTGCTCTATCATTATCTGCCTGAGGGTGCAGGATGGATGTGTGTGCATGTTTATGTGCATATACCCATGTGTGTGTGTGTGTATGTGTGTGTGTGTGAGTGAGTGTACAGTAACATGTGCAGTATCCTGTGTCCCTCAGGTACTCAGGTGGGAGCTGCCGGCTCTGGGCACCTCTTGACAGGTGACAGCTTGGTCCAGCCACTGGATTCAACCCAATCCCTGGGAAGCGGGCTGGCAAAGGGAAGCAGAGCCTGCAGCTAAAAAAGGATCCTGGCCCTGGGGTCAGGGCAGGAGCAGGGGATGCAGCAGCCCCGAAAGGTTTCTGGAGCCCAGGCTCAGACCCTGCCCTGGAGGGTTTAACACTTAGCACAGTGCCCCGAGGTAGGTAGTGTCATTCTCCCCATTTTTATAGACAAAATGTTCTCTAAATGCTTGCCTCTGCTGGGTGGAACAGTGAGAACAGGGTCAGATTCATTCTTCCCTGAATCTTTTTGGACATAGCTGGGGGGGGGGCGGGGTTGGGGGGCTTCCCTCCTCAGACCTTCCCCTTGAGAATCTTCTCCTTGGAGGCAGGCATCACCCTGCTGCAGGGAGCTCTGAACCAGCATCCTCAGAGCTGCCCTGACTGCAAGTTCCCGGTACAGAGGAACTCTCTTGCCCACCCCCCGAGTCTAGGTGGTGAGAGGGACCAAGAGCCCTCTGCTCTGCCAGCCTTCCCCATTGGGCCTGGCAGAGGGGTGCAGACTACCCTTGGCAGGTCCAGTGACGCAGGTTGGCAGCAGGGAGGCAGCCTCGGCTGGAGGGGGTGCCAGAGCCTGCGGAGGCCCCTCTGTCCAGGCCAGATGGCCACTGACTCCAGCGGGAGGGGCTGCCAACACCTCCGGTCGGTGTCCTGGCCCGTGTTCCTCGCTCTGCCCTTGTCCAGGCCCGGCCTTCAGGTGCTGTTTGATGAGGAGCTGCGCTTCCTCCCCAGTGAGGGGGGATTTATGTGAGATGCCGTTTGCCTGGCCCTCTTCCTCCCCACCCCCTGGGTGCAACCAGACCCCTTACAGTCTCATCTCCACACTGCCCAAGGCTCTGCAGGACCCCAGAGAGGAGGCCTGAGGTCTTCCTTCATGTTTGTGCGTGTCTGATAAGTTGTGTCCAACTCTTGGCGACCCCATGGACTGAAGCTCCTCTGTCCATGGGATTCTCCAGGTAAGAAGTGGAGTGGATTGCCATTTCCTCCTCCAGGAGATCCTCCTGATCCAAGGATAGAACCTGCATCTCCTGCTTTGGCAGGAGGATTCATCACCACTGCGCCACCTCTTCATGCTGGATCAACCCATTCATTCATTTGTTACAAGAGCTTTAAGAATTAAGTGAGGTGGGTTGAGAACACACCCATCTTGGCTCACACTCTTGTGGTTGCAGAAGGGGATGGCCTGGATGACAACCTGGACTGTGATGGGTGAGGATTCCCAGGAGGGCTGCCTCACTTGCACAGATTCACTTCATTGTCTGGGTAAAAAATGCAGGCAGTGGCCAGGCTTTGCCCAGGATTCACTGATTCATCCATTGAATGATTTATTCATTCATTCCTCCAACAAACATAAATCAAGCACATGCTGCATACCAGCCCCTGTTCCACACAGATGAATAAGATAGAACACCCCTGCCCTCACCAAGTTGATGTGACTTGGGTAGATGAGAAAACTCATGAACCGGGTATAGGGTGATGTGATTAGGGCCGGCGGATGCTTTAGGAAAGGTCATCAGGGATCTCCCTGGTGATCCAGTGGCTAAGACTCTGAGCTCCTAATGCATGGGACCTGGGGATTCGATTCCTGGTCAGGGAACTAGATTCCACATGTCGCAACTAAGACCCAACACAGTCGGATAAATAAATAAATAAATAAATAAATAAATAATTTTTTTTTTTTTAAAGAAAGGTCATCAAGGAAGGCCTCCCTGAGGCTGGGGCTGGAAGGACAAGAAACTGGTCAGACCCGATTCTGGGGGAGGGAGGAGTAGAAAGGTGCATGCAGAGGACCCAGCAGGTGGGAAGGCCCTGGGGAGAGAAGGAAGATGTGTGTGGTGGAGGCTGGTGTGTGCACCCTGGTGGTGGTCAGGGCAGGCTTGCTGGGTGTGGAGGGGAGGAAACTGACACCAGAATTCAAAGGCTTGTAGGAGTTGGATTTGACTGTTTCAGCTACTTTCACAAAAGGGCATAATATAAACAGAGTTAACATTTACATCACTCTCCCTACATGCACTGCATTAGTGCTCTTATGTAAGCCAATGCCGTCAGATGTCCCCCAAACCATGGTAGGTCCTATTATTATCCCATTCAACAGGTGAAGAAACTGAGGCACCACGAGTTTAAATCACTTGCTCAGTGACACAGGACAGATTAGTGGTAGAGCTGGAATTTCTGGTAGGCTGCTGGCTCCCGAACTCTAACCACTGTCTTTTCCCACACTACCCTTCCCATATAGACTCTGCAAGTCTTCCCTCACTTCAGAGTTTGTTTCCTCTGCTTAAGCAACATATAAACATACTCTAAAGCTTAAGGAATTGTGGGGTCCTCAAGAGGTCATCTTGTCCATGCTCCTGCCTCCAGATAGACACGGTATTATAAGTCTCATGTTGAGGATGAGACTCCTAAGCCCCAAAGGGTTTAAGAGACCGGTTTATTATCCAAGGTCAGTGAAGGAAGTGTGGGAACTAGAGCCGTGGTCTCCTAAATTCTTTCACTCCGGCTCCAACCTCTCCATCCCCATTTTGAGATGATTCTAGTGTTGTTTCTTATCTGTTCTCCATCCCCCACCACCCTTCCTCCAGCTGGATAGCACACTCCCTCTGTGCCCACCAACAGGGTGGGGTACACAGCAGCTGCATACTTGATGTCTGTGAATGCAACAGGTGGATGACAGCAGGCACACACTGGGTGTGATGCTGCTGTCCAGGATGCTTATAGAGCAAGAATGCTTAGCAGGAAGGGTGGATGTGAGCTGATGCTGGAAGGCTGCTTAGAAATGTTTTATCTGGTCTTCAGCATTTCTGTCTGGGGTGGGAAGGGTGTCTCAGCTAGAGGAAACAGCATGTGCAAAGAGACAAGGAGAGGACGTGGCATAATCAAGGAACAGTAATGGTTTGATTGGACGTGAGCAAGACAAAAAGATGGGCAATGAGGCTGGGGTTGGGCTGCAGGGACAGTCACATGTGGTCTGTCCCAAGGACCCTGCAGGCTCTACATGAACTGATTCCATGGTCACTGCTTCCTTACAGTCCTAACAAACAAAGAGGCTCCATGGGGTAGATACAGAGTATCTTTAATGCCCCAATTTATTTTTGTCACACATGGCTTTGCTCTGTGATAGCCTAGAGGCACATGTCCCAGGGCTCCTGGTTCACAAGGGAGCTTGGGTCGACATGCTCTTCTTTACCTTAAGGCCCTTCCTCTTGTGAAGGCCAGTCCAGGGCAGGCTGGCCTCATGGGCGTGGGCTTGGGCCTGGGCCTGGATGTGGCCCAGCTCCGAGGGCGGCGGCCTGAGCGGTATCAGCATGGCCGTTGGCATCAGTGGGAAGAGCTCCTCTGAGGCCCCACCAGGGGTACTCGACAGGTCACCGGGCTCCAGGTTGGCATCGCTCCAACCCTCAGAGCTGTCACTGTGGCCTTCTAGACTGGTGGCTTCACCCTCAGATATGGTGACAGTCTCAGCCGTGCCCTCCCCAAGGCTGCTATCTAAGTCTCCTGCCAGGGTAGAGATGGTGGCCCCCTCGAGCTCCCAGGCCCTGTGGGTGTCTGCTGCATGCTCCCGCTTCTGCTCAGAACCAACTGAAGGGACACTGCAGAGCCCTGGCACAGGCCGGGTGAGGGCTGTGGCTCTCACCTGGCCTGTCCAGAAGAGGGCGAGCTCTTGGCGGCAGGCGGCCACGGCCAGGCTGGTGAGCAGGGTGCTGGACACCAGGTAGAGCAGGGCAGGCTGGCCCATCTGCATGAGGGCCATGGCAAAGAAGGTGACCAGCAGGCCCGCAGCGTAGGCCGCTGTGCAGGCCACGAAGTAGACCTGCCGCGAGCGGATCTGCACGTCAAAGCGGTGACAGTAGGCCACCAGGAAGCCGGGGACCACGATGTCACCGAAGCCGAGGATGGAGAAGGGCTGGTCACACAGGGTGAAGGCCGAGAAGCTCAGCCGGGGCACCTTGAGGACCATGGGCAGCCTCTCATGGCTCAAGGAGTCTGCCGGGCCCGAGGCCACCCCAACCATGATGCTCTCGCCGGTCCTGGTGAGCAGGGGTGTGATGAAGACGAAGAAGACATCGAAGACTAGCAGGGCCAGCAGGAAGGAGGCGCAGCTCTGGAGGGTGGGCAGGCGCATGCGCCGCAGGACGAAGAGGCAGTAGGCCACGCCCAGCGTGTCCTGCAGCAGCCACGCCCAGCGGTCCTCGTTCCGGTAGGCGACCCAGAGGGCCGTCACCACCAGGCACAGGCCAGCCAGCAGCAGCAGGGGCAGCTGCAGGCGGGCCCGGCGGCCGGGCAGGGGCCGCCGGTCCCGCCACACGGGCAGGCGGCGCACCACGGGCACCAAGCAGCTGTAGAGGCCGGTGCCCGCGCCCAGCCCGAAGATGGCGATCATGACGTAGACAAAGCAGTCGTAGAAGAAATAGAGCAGCAGCATGATGGAGCAGGACATGGTGACCACCGCGCCCGTCATGGCCAGCGTGAAGTCCACCGGCGCGTCCTCGTCGTCGTCTTCGGGCCCCCGCCGGGCCGCCAGGGCCCCCTGCGGAGGGTGACCGCCGGGCCCCCCGCCCCCTCGCGCCCGGCGCCGCTGCAGCCTTTCAGCCTCAGTCACGCCGGCCCAGTAGCCGCCCATGGCCACGGTGCCCACGGCCAGGAGGAAGATGACCACCATGTTGTAGTCGAGGATGGGCTCCGGGGGGGCGTACAAGGCCACGTGGGCCCCGTTGCCTCCGTGGGTGTGGCTGAGGATGTCCAGCATGTCAGTGTAGCGGAGCACGGCCACGGGGATGGTGAGGTCTGGGAGGGGCTTGTGGGGGTTCTGGGCCGCCGGGGTGCTGTCTGAGCACTGTTGGCCGCTGACCCGGCTCACGATGAGCAACCCGTGGGCGCCTCGGCCCTGAGCCAGCCAGCCTTTGTCGTAGAAGCTGCAGTTGCCCCTCATGACCATGGCGGTGGTCCGGTGGAGGGGCCGCTGGCTGGCGGAGCCGTCGGGGTGGGCCTGGTCGGAGGAGTCCTGGCCTGGGCACCAGGGCGTGCCGGTGCCGTCGTGCAGGCGCAGGAGCGGGGCGTGCTGCAGGTCCCGGGGCAGGGTGACATAGTCGGAGCGGAAGAGGATGCAGTAGTCCTTGCTCCAGGTGTCCGACACCACGTGGACCACGCCGTACTCCCCCTGGGCCGCGGTGCTGGCCGGGAGGAAGAGGAGGAGGAGAAAGAGGCGGAAACCCAGGCACGCCATCCTCCGCAGGCACCTACCGCTCGTCCCAGTGTGGCAGCTGCCCGCGGCCCCCTGACCCCTCCCAGGGCTGGGTGTGGCCCGCTGTCACAGAGCGGCTGCTTGGCCTACAGTCCAGGAAACCAGGGCCACACCTACCTAGTCACAAAGCTGGGCAGCCTCTGGGGGTCCTGTCCCCCACCCCTGCCTCTAGGTGGAGAGGTCATCTGCCTAGGAGGAACTGGACCAGGTCATTTGAAACAAGAGGTGGGGGGGATGGGCTTGAGGATCCCAGACAGGACTTGGGACCAACCTTGCCCTTTACAGACCCTGCAGGTGCCTGGCCCTCTCTGCCTATTTCTGTAACTTCGAGAAATGAGGACATTAGACCAGACGGTTTCCTGGGCCCCTGGGATCCCCGAGCTCCGCGATGTTGTACATCTTTATCGAGCTCTTCTTGAGTGCCAGGTACGTTTTCTGCAATCACAGCCTCCTGCAAGAGGGTATTACTGCACCCATCCAGCACAAGGCTGTGAGCCCTCCTTCAGATGACGTCGCTTTGCACAGGCATATGACCGGAACTTCGTTCCCAGACCGACCAGGATTTAGGAAAGGCCACGTGGCCGTTTCTCGCATTGGAGTCGAGCGGAAATGAGGTGAGTCCCTCAGGAACCTGGACAGAGACCATGGGCTCCGTGTCCTCCTCTTTCTTTTTCTCACAAGCCGCTCGTGGACAGGCCGTCATCTGTGGAGAGGGGCGATGTCCTAAGAGGTGGGGAGAAAGGGAGTGAAGGCGCCAGGTCCCCGGATGCTTGCATGGAGTATGGGATACTCATCGTGGACTGTTAACGTATGTTATCTTCCTTAAGCCACAGGCTTCTTGTAGGTCTGTTACAGCAGCTTTGTTGTTGTTCAGTCGGTAAATGGTGTGTGACTCTTTGTGACCCCAGGGACTGCAATGCGCCAGCCTTCCCTGTCCTTCACTATCTCCTGGAGTTTGCTCAAACTCATGTTCATGGAGTCAGTGGTGCCATCCAACCATCTCATCCTCTGTCGTCCCTCTCTCCTTCTCCTCCTGCCCTCCATCTTTCCCAGCATCAAGGGTCTTTTCCAATGAGATGGCTCTTTGCATCAGGTGGCCAAAGTATTGGAGCTTCAGCTTTAGCACCAGTCCTTCCAATGAATATTCAGGGTTGATTTCCTTTAAGATTGACTGGTTTGATCTCCTTGCTGTCCAAGGGACTCCCAAGAGTCTTCTCCAGCACCACAGTTTGGCTGAACCTTACCCAAATACATCCACTGTGTGGATGAGTACAGTGAGGCTCAGAGGCCACCCCATAGGCCCTAGTCCCAGCCCCCAGATCCAGCTCTCACTCTAGACACATGTCGCTTAGGTGTTGCCCTGTCCTGGGACCTGCCCGGGGTCAGCCCGGCTCCCTGACTGCTTAACTGCAGCTCTAATCTCTGCCCCAAGGCCTTCCACACTGCCCATTCTTGACCTTCAGGCCCTACCTCCAAGGACAGTGCCACCACCACATCCAGGAGACCAGAGGCCCATCCTTAACATGTCGTGATCACAATTCAGATTTTCTTTTCTTTTCTGTTTTTTTTTTTTTTTGGTCACGCCTCGTGGCTTCTGAGATATTAGTTCCCTGACCAAGTATTGAACCCATACCCATGACAGTGAAAGTGCTGAGTCCTAACCACTGGGCCACCAGGGAATTCCCAAGCCTTACTTTCCTCATTCTCTGGAGGAGAGGATGGTAACCCACTCCAGTACTCTTGCCTGGAGACTCCCCTGGACAGAGGAGCCTGGCGGGCTGCAGTCCATGGGGTCGCAAAGGGTCGGACACGAATGAAGCGACTTGGTATGCACGCACCTCGTGAACTCCACATCAGTGGGATGGCAAATCTCCAACACCCAGCTTCGGGTGCCTTGTGGAGGGTGAGCTTAAGGGACCTTTGCCAAGAGGTTGATGAGCAGAACCTTGTAGACTCTGACAGTCCCCTCCCACCCAGTGGGTGACATTTGTCTCACCCACACCTGACTTGACAGGTGTCAGATATTCTGTATGATTCAGATTGTGTCTTTCAAAGCATCAACCGCATTTTTGTAAGAAATAACAACCCTGCTTGTCTGTGCATTTCTGTTTCATCCATTCATATAACATTTAATTAGATTACAAATAGTAATTACAATGACAAATTAACTGTCAGAAACACTTTAGGGAACAGAGACAACTGACTGCTGATCCCCAGCCAGTGAGGGTGAAGTGTCAGGGCCAGTGGAGGAAGCTGCCAGCTGCCCCTCCCTGGGCTCCCTTTGCAGAGAGAGGACAGGTATATCAGCCAGGGGCTGGTAGGCAAGGGACGGTCGGCTGGTGTAGTTCTTACGAGTGGAGCAGTGTCTAGACTGGGCTCAGCTCTCTGCATCTGAGCACCCTGGTGCTTGGTAAAGCAGGGCTATGATAATAGAAATCTCTCCGAAGGCCCCCCCCAACCCCAGGCCCCCACTTCCCGCCCCAGCTACTGATGTTTAGCTAGACTCTACCTCAGGTAGAGTCCTGGGTCTTATAAAACCAAAGACTAAAATGCCTACTGGGAGTAGCTATTATAAAAAATAACAAACCAGATAATAGCAAGTTTTGGGGACTTGCCTGGCAGTCCAGTGGTTGAAACTCCACGCTTCCACTGCAGGGGGTGCAGTTTCAGTCCTTGACTGAGGATCAAGATCTGTGCAGAGCACCCAAAAAAATAAAAAAAATAAATAAAAAATAATTTAAAAATGGAAAAAAAAACCCCAGATTTTGGCATATATGTGGAGAAATTAGGATTCTCATACATTGCTGGTGAGGTTGCTGTAAATGGTACAGCCACTGTAGAAGACACTTGGTGGTTCTATGGTAGATTATAAACAGAAATTTATCACAAGACCCAGCAGTTCCACTCCTGGGCATATACCCCAAAGAACGGAAAACAGCTGTTCAAACAAAAAATTGTACTTGAATGTTTGTAGCAGCACTCTTCACAATGAGTTGGAGTAGATGAAAAGAACCCAGATATCCTTCAGCTGATGGATGGCTAGAGAAAGTATGTTGCCCCCGTAGGATGCAGCATCATTCTGCCCTACAAAGGGATGAAGTTCTGATCACGCAACGATGTAGACAGACCTTGAGAACATTAAGCAAGGGAAAGAAGCCAGACACAGGAGGACAGATCCTGCACAACTCCACTTTTATGAACTGTCCAGAACAGGCAAATCATCAAGACAGAAAGCAGGTGGTGGTGGCTGGCGGGAAGGAGAGTTGGGGGGCCTGGGGTTTCATCAGAGAGATGAAAAAGTGCTGGAGCCGGATAGTGACAATGGTTTTACAACATCATGAGTGTATTTGATATGCTGAATTGTACACTTGGTTGAGGTGGTAAGTTTGATGCTGTGTGTGTTTTACTGTAATTTTTTTATTTTTAATTTATTTGGTTTTGGGGCTGCGCTGGGTCTTCGTTGCTGCGTGCGGGCTACTCTCTAGTTGCGGTGTGTGGGCTTCTCACTGCAGTGGCTTCTCTTGTTGAGGAGCCTGGGCTCTAGGGCAGTTGCAGGCTTCAGTAGTTGTGGCTCACAGGCTTAGTTGCTCCTCGGCAGATGGAATCTTCCCGGACCATGAATCGAACACATGTTCCCTGCACTGGCAGGCAGATTCTTAATCACTGGGCCACCAGGGAAGCCCCCCAGTTTTCTAAAGAACAAAGCAAGGAGCAACTTCAGTCCCCTCCAGGAGCACTGTGCTCAGGACAGGCCTTGTTGTACCTGTCCTGGAGTTCATCAGACCAGCATGTGCCCTGATGTGGGGTTCAGAAAACACCCCCCGAAACCCGAAACAGAGGCTGCTCCTGCCTCCCGCTCTGCCATCTACCCTTGGGCTCCTGGCAGCCATGGGATCAAAAGAATTCCCTGGACTCATTTCCTCCTCAGCTCTTGCCAGGACCCAACTCATCAAGGCTTTTGGGCGTCTTGTCTAATTGCTGCTTCCCCAGATCCCCCATCTTGCCCCCCAGCCCCAGCATCAGCCCCCAGTCCTGGACTGGCTCCTCTCCATGGCCACTCTGTGCCCCTACAGCCCCCTGCACAAGGCCTGGTAGGCACAGTCACGTGAATGGCTGATGCCCACTCCCCAGCCAGTTTCTGCTTTAAGACTCTGCGGCACCCTCTCTCCCCATGCCCCCCAGATTTCACCCCTTTCCTTGAGGGCATCCTCTGGTCTTCAGCTTCTGGTCCCTCCCGGCTGCCTCCCCTTAGCTATAGCCTGGACTCTCAGGGTCGCCGCCCAGGGCAGGCTGGGACAGTGTCCCTGCCTTCTGTTTGGGGACTTAGGTGGTGCCTGGAATTATTTCCAAATGATGGTCATCGGTGTTTCTAGTACACCGAGAGCTCTGAGAAATATACTTGGTCCAGGCCTCTCTTGACCTGAGTCTGCCCAGCAGCATCTGCAGGGAGTGTGGGAAAATGGAAGGAAAAGAATAAGAGGTGATGCTCTGAAATGAAATGGAGCCGGGACAGGGCTGGGGGCTCGGGGAGGGTGCGCTGGTTCAGGGAGAGGGCCACGGGAGCCCCATGGCTTTACAGGCACAAACTCCTGCATCCAGCTTCGTCTCTGAACCCTGTTTGTCCACAAACTGGAGAAACTGGGGAATTTCCTTAGAAGAGGGTTGGCAGGAGCAGTGGGGCAGGGAGGGGAACTCCACAAGAAATTCTGCTGTTTAGGGTTTAAACACCAGGGGGGCCGAGTGAGGCTGGCCGGGGTTCACATCTAGCTGGGCCACTGCTGGGTGCTCCCAGGCACATTCCTTAACCTCTCTGGGCGTCACTTCCCCCACCTGTTAAATGGGGATAACAGATCTTGCCTCATAGGGTGGTATGAAGGGTAGATGAGATCGGTGTGGGGGGTGCTTAGCAGAGGGGCTCCGGGTGAGCACTCACTGATGATACTGCTGATGGAAAACTGCAGGGAGCACCCCTTCTGTTTGACCCAAAGGTGGGAAGGTGAGTTTGAAGTCAGGGGGCTGCATGAGATGAGCTTGAGGGATCCCTGAGCTGCAGGCCAGCGGCACCCTCACATGGGCTGGGCATGGAGACCCTCAGAGGCTTCTGGTGGATGTGGGCTGTACTGTTTGCAGTTAAGCCTCATTTTAAGGAGTGGAGGGGTGCGGGGTGTTGGGAAGGTAGAAAAGGAGTTGCTGGATGTAGAGAACCCTCATGGCTGTCACCCAGTTGGGCTCAGCAGCCTGACACTGGTGGGCCATCTCTGGGCCGGGCTGGTATTTGCCTGGGACTTACCCCCATCAGACAGTCTGAAACCCCCAGTCCTCCTCGCTGTCCCCTCCTCCCAGAATTGCTTTATCAGTCCTGGCCTCCCTAAACCCAAGCCCAGTGACTCCAGTTAACTGACGGGGTGGAAGGAGACCTGGATTTGGAGAAGAACTTTGATCTCAGAGGAGTCCACTTGGCAGTTTTCTCGGCAGGAAAATGGGCTGATTCCATTTTCCGTGAATGTTATAAAGGATTTTGTGGATTGCAAAGCAATCTACAAATGCCCACAATTAATTATTGTCTGGATTCTAAAACCTCCCTTCCTCTTTGATCTGCACCCTCTGCCCTCTTTGGGTTCTGGGGTGTCTGTTGGGGTCCCACTCTGGGTCCTATTAGCAGCAGCAGGGGGCTGAACAGGGCTGGAGGAGAAGCCGGGGACCCCAGAGCAGGTGCTATGCTGTTGCACTCAGGGAGGTGGGGAGCCAGAACTGGAAAACCCAAACTCCAGGGTGGTTTTTGCTCCACTGGTGATCTGAGCCCGCGAGGGAGGGTCTCAAGGAGAAAAGGGCTCAGGTTGGGGGAATTGGAGGGAACTGCAGCCTCTGGGTGTGGCATGGAGAAAAATTCTTCCCAGTTTCATAGAGGGGCCTGTCCCGCAGTGACCCCCACCCTGCAGCTGCCTGGCCCTTTCCAACAGTGTGGTGATGGCATGTCCCCTGGCCCATCACACCTCCCACAGCCCCAAGGGACCTCCCTTCCCACCCACACACAAGCCAATGATCCGAGCAGAACGACCCTTGGAAACCCCACTGGAGGGCTTGCCTTGAGCCCAGCTCTGGAGCCCATGGAAGGGTTAAACACCGCACACCTGCCTCTGGCAGTTGTTTGCAGCCCAGATGTTCCCAGCTGTGCCCTAGCAGCCCCCCACCCTTTACAGTGTCTGAACAAGAGGGATCTTGAGGTCATCTGGACTAGCCCCCTGCCTGCCCGGGGACCCCCTGCAACTTCTGTAATGACTGCCAGCCTCGCTTGGATGTCTTCCTGTGGCCTTCCAGCGTTGGCAGCTCTATACTTTGCAGCCTGTTGCTGGCATATGTCCTGGGGGTGCCAATTGCCCCCCTACCTCACAAAGGGCTGAGTGCACAGCAGGTGTGTGAATGGCTCCCATCAGCTAAAACAGCCAGGAGGGGGACTTCCCTGGTGGTCCAGTTGCTAAGACTCTTGAGGTCCCAATGCAGGAGGCCCAGGTTCAATCCCTGGTCAGGGAACTAGATCCCACATGCTGCACCTAAGGATCCCACATGCCACAATGAAGAGCAGAGATCCTGAGTGCTGCCACTAAGACCCTGTGTATAAATAAATAAATAATAAATATTATCATTATAAGACTCAAATAAATAAATACTAAAAAAACAGCCAGGAGGACAAGCAGGAAAGGGGGACCGCCCCAGCTTGGTCCCCTTGCCTATAAACTCCCCCCACAGTCCCCTAGCCCCTCTCAGGCTCCTGTGCCCTTGGACTCTCCCCTGACTCCACATCTCGACACCGTTTAAATAAAGCCTCGTTTTCTCACTCTCCTTCGTTGGGTGGAAGGCATCACTGAGAAAGATGCCTTCCATGGGCCTCCTTTGTGGCCGTTTGAGATCAGCCATCAATTCTGGTCCTTCTTTTGGGGGACTCTTTATGGGGTTTCCCCCAGCTGCTCTGGAAGCTGTCAGCCTGTCTCTATCCTGGTGGCCCCTGGTCCCCTTCTCACAGCCTCCTCTGATCAGCTGGTCCTCCCACTGTGTCCTTAAGAGGACAATGCCTGGGGAGTTGGCAGAGCAGGTACCCCACTTGGCTTCAGGGACACCCTGGCTCCCCCCTCCGGGAGCAGCCAGACCCTCACCCACTGGAGCCTCCCTCCCCCAGCAGACGCTTCCGGGCTCCCAGCACCACGGTCATCTGTCCTGGTATCCTGATGCCACATGCACCCGTGTGCACGTGTGTGTGTGGGTGTCCCTGATTGTGTGCATGCATGTGCTGCGCGCGCACACACACACCCCTGCGTGGCCCTGCTTCTGGGTCAGAGACTCAGAGGCAAGGCCCAGGCCTGAGAGTGGTGGGTGGAGTTTCTGTGTCCCAACCACCCCCTGTCCTGAGGACGCGGCTCACGCTGTGCTCAGCTCGCTCCTGGCCTTCTCAGGAGGTGTGGAACTACTGCCCCCCGAGGGGTGGTGGATAAACTTCCTTGGCCCCGCAGGTGGGATGACGCACGCAGGTGTGGGTCCCACCTGGCTGCCCCAGCTTCTGCAGCAGGACTGAGCTACCGTCGACCGTGGTGGTGGGCATGCGCGCCCCTGCCCTGGAGTTGGTTCTCGAAGCCTTGTCTCCCGGTCTGCTTCGGGGGTTTCCATGCTAAGGCAGCATTCAAGCCTGTACAGCCTCCCCTGCTTCTTAACCCCTTTCTGTTACCAGCCCAGCTCCGCCCCTGGGGCTGGGACGCAAGGCTGCCTGGTCCCACCGCCTCACCTTTGCTCAGGCTGCAGCCTGCTCGCGGTGTCCTCCATCTGCATGGTTTGCCACAGCCCTTCTCCCTACAGTTCACCCTCTCATGAGAGCTGCCCTTATTACCTGGGCCCCGCAGACCTACACCCTTCTCCTAAGTCCTCTGCTAGCCTCAGGGGCCCCCTAGAGTGCCATCCCTGGCAGATGTGTGGATTCCACTGGAGCCCCAGCCACACAGTGGCCCTAAGGGCTGAAAGTGGCCTGTTTCTTTGGGATGCCCTCCCAAGCCAGCCCTGGCACACACAAAGCCTTCACAAGTGCTGGTTGAAAGATAAATATAATTTACACCAGCCACCCCCATCTCCCAGCCCCAGCCCCCCAAAGTCCTTCTCTGGCTGTCCATTCCCTCTGGATGTGGCTGGCTCCTTACCTGGGGTGTAAGCGGCCAGCTGGCTGGCGCTCTGGGGAACTCGGGGCAGGGAGGGGCCCAGCGCCCCACCCCCTTCTATTTTGGCTTAGCTAGTGATGCTGCCCCAGAGGTCATCCAAGGGCTGCAGGACCCCTTTGGCCAGCAGAGGGGTTGTCCCATTGGCCGGGTCACTGAAGCCAGTGGGCTGGGTGGCCCCAGCATTCTCTGCCCCCTTCAAAGGGAGGCTGGCTTTGGTGGGGGCACACACTGGCTTCTGTTCTGTCACCCTCCCACGTCCCCATCATCTCACAAAAGGGGGACACCTAGGGTAGGAGGCTGAGGAGGGGGAGCCTGTGTGGGCTGGGCAGCAGTAAAGCCCCAAGGGCGTGAGGCAGCGAGGCAGGCCGTTTCTGGTGGCAGGGCCATGGGGTCAGATGACTGGTGTTTGGGAGGATTTCAGTGATGCAGCCTGCTATCTCAAGATGCCATCTGACTTCTAACAATGTCTCCAGGGCTTCTGACAACAGAATCTTGGTTCCCAGTGGTGCCGTTAAGCACTACTAAGGCCTGGAGGCATCCTCATGGTGGCTCGGATGCTGTGACGAGAGTTTCCCATGATGCCCGTGGGGCAGCCAATGGCCCCCTACAGTCTCTGAGGACATCCTGGGGTCTTCAGTGGGCTGTCATATTGTGCTCTGAAAGGACTCGTATGCAGCTTTGGATTCCCCACTGTCTAGCTCCCACTCTGTGTTTCCAGTCCATTTTCCAGGGAGGATGTGGGCAAAGAGAAGCCAGAGGCCCTGGGCCCAGCCCAGTCCTATAGGCTATTTTTTACTCATCTCATGGCCCTGACTGCTGCCATGGGCCTGGAACTTCTGCTCAGCTGGGGGTTGGGGAGGGACCTCCTGGGCTCTCAGCGCCAGCTGAGCCTGGGGGCAGAAGGTGTGGGAGGGAGCTGGTCCCCTCCACAGACAGGGTGGCCGGCTAAGCCTGGTGGCCATCTCCCCAACCGTAGATCTCGGGGGCCGGTCCGTGGTCCTCCAGCTCACACTGCTGTGGACTGCTTGATGCTGTGAAAGCTGACACGCGTCGGGGAGGTGGGGATGGACATGGCGCGAGCCACGCGGGCGCGGATTGAGTGCTTGTCCTGCCACCGGTGCCACCTCTTCCGGATGGCAGAGCGGACCTGTGGGCACACAGCAGAGAATAGGGTCTGATCTCGGGTTTCAAACCCCCGCTCCCACCCCCCACAAGCAACTATCCAGGGAACCACCTTGGAACGGCAACATTGACATCATCACCATCGTTGATTTGCGTATTTGTTAGGACAGTTTTCTCAAGCATTATGAGGAAGGGGTGCCTTTTTCAAATCCACCCAAAGGTGCCATGTGGCCTTTGCCATGAAGAATCTCTACCCTCAACCCACACACATCTGCCCTCAACCTCCTGCCCTAGGGCTCAGCTTCCTGGTTTTCAACAACCCATTTCACAGACTCATTGATGAGACTGGAGTCCCAGCTTCTGGGCTCATTACTGCAGCAGCTGAGTGGCAAGTGGCAGGGACCCTCCCAGAACTCCCAACAATATCCCTGTAGGGGCTGGGAGCCGGGAGGACGGAGTGGGGAGGACGGAGTTGGTGTGTGACAGGTAGGAGACGGCTACAGACAGTCCCTGGTCACAGCAGGCCTCTTGCCATCCTGAGTTCTGGGGCCCCGGGTCCTTACCTCGCTGTTGAGGAAGCAGTAGAACACAGACACGAAGAAACCCTGGGATGGAGGGGAAGGCGGGTCAAGGGACCCAGCCTCAGAGTTTCTCCCTTTCTGTCCCCAACCTCCCGCCCTTCCAGGCCCCAGCCTGGGAGAATCCCCACCCGAAGAGGAGCAGGGGATGGGCAGGGGGACAGGCCGGGGCTGGGAGGCTGGGGGAGGGGTGGGTACCTGGAAAGATTCCAGGAAGGAGTTGAAGTAGATGAAGACGACCCGGGAGACCTCATCCTCCCCGGGGTTCACGAAGAACAGCATGTACGTGATGCCCAGGAGGGGGAGCAGCACCAGAGTGGCCTTCACAGCCTTCCTGAAGGGTGAGTGGTAGGAAGGAGGCCCAGAGTTACAGCCCATCCCAAGAAGGAACTGGAGCCTGCCACTTGGTGAGCAGGACTGGATCTGGGGGAGGGCTGTAGCACATCCTTGGAATGTCTGAGACAGGGGCGGAGCTGGGGTTTCCGGAGGGACTCTCAGGCCTGGGGGGATACCCTGGGTCAGAGGTGGGGTCTCTGAAGCCCCCCATGGGTGGGGGAGGCAGGTCTGGTTACCTGTACTGAATGGTCTCAGAGGTGGTGGATGCCCGGAGTTTGGTCATGAGGATGCGGACGATGTTGAAAAGGAAGATGAAATTGATCTGTAATTTGACACAGTGGGATGGCCTGGGCAAGGTGTGTGCAAGATGCTGGTGGGAAGGTGGGGGACAGGACAGGGACTCAGCTGTCCTGGGTCTGGCCTCCGCCACCCTGCTGCTCTCCCTCTATCTGCTTGAGCCCAGCACATTCCTGGCCCCGTGCCCCCCACCTCTAGGCAGAGGAAAACTTTCAGTCCACTATAAGTACTGCCTGCCTCCCCCCACTGAGCACCCCCCCAACCGCGCTCCTACCCAGGTTCTTACCAGCAGGACCAAGATCATTGGGCCCTGGTAGATGTAGTCAGTGTACACCCCAGGCCTTTTGCCAAACCAGCACCTAGAAAGCCACAGAAATAAGAGAAGGGTCATCTGGAACCAGTTCAGTAGCATGAGAGAGAAACAGCGCTGGGCTAGGGAGGAACAGGGGCCAAAAGCCAGGATCTGGGTGTCCCACTTCTAACCCGGGCAGAAGATCAGGATCCCACCACAATGCCTCAGTTATTCCATCTGCAGAATGGACAGCATCCTTTGAGATGTAAAGCTGGAATCAGGCACTGTGGCAGGGAGGGGGATTGTGGAAAAGCCCACTGAATAGAATAGGCATGGGTCCTACACACATGGTTCCCACTGTAGCTCTGGCGCATGCCCAAAAGGGGGGGCCTTGCCCTGTACCTGTCACGCAGTCACTCCCCACCCCAGTAGCTAACACCTGCCACGAGAGGCAGAGTTGCTTTGCATTTTCTTGATGTCACCTCCAGCAAGATCTAGGGAGGTCTGGGGAGTGAGTTGGTGTGGGGCACATTGGAAAGTCCTAGGTCCTTGTGCAGAGATGCTACAGTCTCATCATGAGAGTCCACAGTAGCTAGAAATCATGATGCTTCCATAAACAGGAAACTGAAATCCCTTGACTTTTTCAAGATTGGAGGCAAATTCAAGTTTTCAAAAGGACCAAAGGCAAACTGTCCTGGGGCCAGGTCCAGTCCTTGGCCCGGGGGTCCGCAGGTTCTCTCAGGTCTCCCACCTGCATCCCTTCTGATGCAGTGCCAGTATCTTACCACAAGGTGGAGCTCCAGAGACGCTCAGACGGACTTTCCTCCAAGCTCAGCCATCCTTCTGGCTCCAAGATGCGCCCAGATGCACACACTGGTTTTGAAACCCGTCCTTTCTCCCCTGTGCTCACTTGCACACCTTCAGGCACAGGGTTTACAATGCTCCTGCTCTGGGACCCAGGTCGCCATCCTGGGAATCACTGTCAGGCCCCCAGTTCTGTCTGTCAGCTGCCCTCGATGCCCAGCCCAGGCCCCCACCCCATCAGTTACGCAAATACAGAGAGAGCCACAGCCGGGCTGGGCCGGAGTCAGGAAGGATCACCTTGATAAATGTGGATGTAATTTTCCAGGCTCCTTGTCAGGGTTGGATAGGAACAGCCATGCTGATGGAGGCAGCCTGGAACCCCAGTCAGACAGTGGGTTCCTGAGGACACTTTGACAAAGAAGATTCTGGCACATCCCCTGGCCGCCTCTGTCCACTTTTTCTGCCTCCCTCTTACAGTGGTTCTTAAGTTTAGCTTCATAATAGAGTCTCCTGGGCAGGTTTAAAAAACCCTGGTGCCCAGATCACACTTCAGACCAATGACATCCAACTCTCTGGAGGGCAAAAGTGGCCGTCAGTACTTGTCAAAGCTTCCCAGGTGATTCTAATGTGAGCCAAGGCTGAAAACCACGGCACCAGAAGTGGAGTTTTCAGGGGCAACTGGGAACGCCTGCTTCTATTTAAACACAGCTCCTCAGGACTTGAAAGATGGAAGGAGTCTCTGAGATTGGATCAGTTTCTATTAAATCCATGGGACCTTTTGCTAAAACATGTCTTTACTAATATAAAACATTTATACGCATTTCCTATGTGCCAGACTCCATTCTAAATGCTTGAGATATATATATATATACACACATATATACATGTATATATATATATGTATATATATTAACTCATGTCATTCCCCTAAAAACTCTGAGGGAAGGCACTATTATGAGGATGCCCATTTTGCAAATGAGAAAACTGAGGCAGGAAATACCGCAAGGTCATAAAGCTACCTAATGATGGAGTCACAATTCATAACCTGGGTGGTTTGACTCCAGGGACTTCCAGTAACCTTAGTCTGTTCTGCTTGTCATGAAAGCCTGAGACAGGTAAAGAGCCTCGACCCACCTGTCCAGCCCCACCTCAGGCAGAGCATTGCTAGGGATCCTCAGATTGAGTCTGACCCCCAGGAGCCTCCCCACGTGGATGAAGAAACTGTGGCCCTGTGGGGGAAGGTGACACGGCTGAAGGTCCCTGGGGAGGGTAAGGCTTGGCTGGGCTGGGAACCTGGGCCTTGGGGCTCAGGGGGCCCTGAGGGCAGTGAAGAGGAGGTGACTTACTTCTCATTGTCGTAGTACAGCTTCCCAATGGCCCAGGCCACAATGATGGGGAAAGGCACACCTGGGGGAGAGACCAGTGCCACAGGACCTGTCAGTGGAGTCTGGGGGATGCAGACCCAGAGGCCCCCAGCGCAGCCCAGGGCCTAGAGGCGGGCAGGGGTCCCCCAGGTACTCACTGGCTCATCACGCCTCCTTTGAAACGTTCCCACTGTCCCTGTCCCCAGGTAGGGACAGAGGGCTGTGTGCACACCCCACCACCCTCATCTGGCCTGGGTCTCAGCCCCCAGCGAGCTGGCCCAGGCCTGGGTAGGGGGAGGATGGCCCGGTTGGGGCAGGGGGCTGGCCCGCTCACCCCAGCCGATGCAGATAAACATCCACTTGCGCAGCCGGTCCGTGGAGTACGTGAGCACGATGGCTGTGTGCAGGTAGCAGCCCTCGCCGAACATCCAGAAGAAGTTGGTCACATGGAAGTAGTTGTAGGCGGCTGTCACCAGCCTGCACCAGCCCTGCCGCCCACCCCATCAGAGGTGATGATTAACCGAGGGGGGTGGGGATGTGAGGAAACAGCAGCCCACTCCAGGCAGGATGGGAGCACCCCTGGGATCCACTCTGGCACTGTGGGCTCCAAGGCCTGGTTCCCGTCCCTGCTCTGCCAGGGCCACCCCACCTAGACCCTTCCTCTGACCCTGGGCCTGCCCCCCTCAGGACACACCACGTTGCTCTGATGGACTTCGGGGCTCATGGTGAGCTGGACCACGAACCACGTGGCATTGCGCAGGATGAAGGCTGAGATGAGGTTCCAGTGGATGATGTTTCTCAGGCACCGGATGCTCCTGGGGGCAGCAGGGGTGGGTGGGTGACAGGAGGCAAGTGGGGGAGGGAGAAGATGAGGGACCGGCTGCCAGCATCACTCCAGCCAAGATGTATGGAGGGGAAGCTGAGGCTCCGAGCAGGGCAGGCTGGCTAAGTCACACTGGGGGGTGGCAGCAGGGGCTGTCCTGACGTCACAGACCCCTTCCTAATTGTGGCCTGCCCAGACCTAAGCAAGGGCTTCCCTGATGGCTCAGTTGGTAAAGAATCCGCCTGCAATGAAGGAGACCCCGGTTCAATTCCTGGGTTGGAAAGATCTGCTGGGGAAGGGAAAGGCTACCCACTCCAGTATTCTGGCCTGGAGAATTCCATGAACTGTATAGTCCATGGGGTTGCAAAGAGTCGGACACAACTGAGTGACTTTCACTTCACTTCATTTCAGACCGAAGCTCTGAAACAGAGCTTGCCACGTCCAGTGCTGAGGGGACCAGGGGCTGCTTGCCGACTGGGAATGCCCTTCTCCCATGGGCATCCCTCTCTCCCTGTAGCTCCAGGTTTGAGGCTCAGCCTCCAGCGAGATGCCTCCCTCCGAGCTTTCAGCCCTGATGCTCAGCCCGTTCTCACCCCCCATTCCTGGCACAGACTCGGCCGGTGCTGCCACCTGCATCCTTGGCAGTCGTGCTGGGCCCAGGCAGGTTCAAACTCAAAGGGGGCTCCACCTTCCTGGTCACCCAAATGAGTGCAAGTAGTCTGGACTCAGTGTGGGTGACACCAGGCGAGCCTGGGCTTTGGCCAACCCCCTTCCCCTCCAGTGACCCCAGTCACTGGCAGGAGTACAGAAGTGACCCTACCAGATGCTCCAAGAGACCTGGGACATCTGTATTTGTCACCTTGTCCCATGAAGTGAGGGGGCAGGACTCCCCTTCCCCAGCAGCCCCCCACCCCAAACTGCCTCTTGTTATCTTACTTCTCTGCCCGATAAAGGCCCAGGGGGCTGGGCAGGGGGCAGTGCCAGGGCCTCCTCACCTGAGCCGCAGAAAGAGGACAAAGGCCACCATGAGGGCCACCAGGGAGACGCAGTGGCCCAGGTAGTTGATGATGACAGCAACGTGATAGTGCACCTTGCTCTTCTTCTGAGATAAGAGAGAGGGGAGGGGCAGAGGTGAGACCTCCGCACCGATGCACCGATGCACCCCTCACCCATGGGCGGCCAGGACGGCCGCCCACCCGCCCGCCCTCGGGTGCCCATGATGACAACAGTTAGCCCTTCCTGAGCCTGCTTGGCATCAGGCGTGGCCCTAGAGCAGTGCCGTCCCGTCTGAGTCTTGTCTGTCTGTCTGTCCCCAGATCCCATGATCTGTGTGCTGCTCTGGGCTGTGGAGAGAATATCAGTTAATGTGAGTCTCCACCTAACAGAGGGTTCCCCACTCCGCGTGCACAGATGCACATGCACAGATCACAGCTGCGTTCTCACACTCACGTTTCCGTTCAGTCCCAACACTTGTGGGTGCAGGCCCCAAGCCCCTAGGACTCCTCTCCTCCCATTTCGGAGTTGAGTCACCATCTTCTCCATCACTCCTAAACCCCTCCCACTGCAATTAAAGCCCGCTCCTATCAGCAACCAGTGGGGAAGGCAGTCGCTGTGGATTAGCATCCACAGAATCATTTGAAACCTTAAAAAAACATCTCTAGGCACTGCAACTAGCTTCCTGGAGAGGTCTGCTCCGAGTCACTGGGGTCCTCTCTCAGGACCCCAATGTTATTACTTAATTCATTTCATTTACGCCACAGTCCCCTTTCCAATTGACATACACTCCCTGAGCACTGAAGCCTTCCTGTTTACAGAAGATTTTCACATCTGTCATCCTGTCAAACCCTCAGGGCATTGCTGGGGAAGAACTGGTAGGAGGTCTATATATTATTTTGCAGAAAAACAGGCCTAGAAATACATGGACTTGTTCGAGGTCTCTCAACTTCAAACCACCTCTCATCTTCACATACAGACTGGCAAGGTGTTGAGGCAGCAAACGGGTCCCCACCCATGATGGGGGTCCCTGCTGGAGGTCCTCAGTGCCCAGTGTCTGCAGACTCCTGACCCTGCGAGAGCAAAGACCCCTTTCACCCTTTTCTAGGTCCCACGAGGAAAGAGGCTAGAAACCAGAGCGTGGCACACAGCGGAGCCCAGAAGCGGTGTGTCAAGTGCAGGAAGGAAAAAAATGGATGTTGGAAAGTGAAAGTCGCTCGGTCATGTCCAACTCTTTGCAACCCCAAGGACTATACAGCCCATGGAATTCTCCAGGCCAGAATACTGGAGTGGGTAGCCTTTCCCTTCTCCAGGGGATCTTCCCAACCTAGGGATTGAACCCAGGTCTCCTGTATTGCAGGCAGATTCTTTACCGCCTTTCTGAAGAGGGGATCCCTGTTAACCTCTCCCTCCCTCACCCTTCCCAGGTTCTGGGGTGGGGCCTGGGCATTATGAGGCATAGAAACCAGCAAATACTGAGAAAAAGACGAGCTCAAAGGAAGAGTTCTTCACCCTTTCGAAGCCGCCAGAGCTCCTCCTGGCTCTCTCTGGACCCTCTTGTTGGAATTCCAGAATCCATGGGCATCAAAGCTGGTCCCAAGGGATCAAGTCCAGCTGTACCCATTTTCCAGATGAGGAGACTGAGGCCCAGACTACCCCCCACCCACCCAAGGACAAAATACCTAGCAGGCATCCAAGAAGGGGCGAAGCCCTCCCTCCCTTGCTCTCCCCAGCCCCTTCTGCACTGAAGGAGAGCCCTCACCGAAGAAGGGGCTGGGCAGCTCTGTTCTAGGGGCTGGTTTTCCTGGAAGAGGTTTTCAGGAACATGACAGAAGATCACATTACCAGCTCAGGCCCTGAAGGGCTGAGACCCACCGAGGTGAAAATGGATGGGGGTGGGCAGAGGGCATCCATTGCCATTATAAAAATGTGCATCAGGCGGGGGGGGGGGGGGGGGGCAGCGCATTTCTGAGTGCCTGGAGGTAGATGCCAAATCCAGAGACTCAGCAGATATGCACATATCCAGGCTGTCTGGAACTGATATTTAATTTCCTTTTATTAAATTTTCCACAAATCCATGCTGCGAAGCCCCTGGGTAAAGACAGCATCTGCGGAGCCCAGAAAGGGGTGATGCCTCTGTTTCATGGGGAAGGGGGCAAGCATGTACAGGCAGGCCCTTCACTACCCCCCAGAGCAGGCTGGGCCAGAGTGCTTTGGCTTGGGGTGGGATGCATCATTTATTAATCACCTACTGCGTGCTGGGCAACATGCCAGGGGCTTTACAGACATCACTGCTTTTCTTTCTCACAACTGCCCTCTGAGATTGTTCTTCTGTCCCCATTTTTCCAGTTGAAGAGGCTGCATAATTGGCCCCGGCCACTGGGCCAGCATCAGCATTCAGGTCTCCTTGGCCTTACAGACCCTCCTTTCTGTCCCCGCAGTGTATTCCTTGGGGGATAAGCATGGACTGCACACAGAGCCACTCTCTTCATCCTGGACTCAGAATTCTTGGGGAGCTTCTATGGGGAGGCTGGGATCCCTTGGGATCCTCCCCTTGGGGAGGCTGGGGGCTCATGGGGGGTTTTCTCCACTGAGGCTGAAAGGGGGAGAACTGGGCCAAATCCAGGTGCCACCTCTGCCTGACTCCTGGAGCTGGGCCAAGGAGGGCCCAGGCTGGGTTTGAGTCCTTCTTCCCACCTGCCACATCAGCCTAATGTGCTATGAGAAACAGCAAAGCAACGGGGGCCGGGGGTGGGGTACAGTGCAGAGGGAGCCTGAGAAGACAGCTGGAGAGATGACAGGGTCACCCTCAAAGACGGCCAGCATCACTGGGAGAAATGGCCAGCCATCCCCAAGAGCTAGTCAGTGATACCCCGAGAGGTGTTCAAGTTCACCCAGAGAGAACAGCCAACAGCCTAGTGACATCCAGTGACACTCCAAGAGACCCTGATGACACCCTGAGAGATACCCTCCTGAGAGAAAGCCACCATCAACTGCAGAAGCGGCTGGGACGCCCGAAGGACAGGTGGACACAGCCAGCCCCTGGGGACCTGAACGATACTCTGTCCTGTCTGGTTTGGGGACCTGAGGCTGGCAGGGACCCTGAGGAGGGTGGCACTGGGTGGAGGCCACTCTGCTGTGCCCGCACGACCAGACTCTCTGCAAGATGCACCTGGTCCAGTGTCAGACCCGAACTGATGCCTTTTCAGGATGTGTGATGGGTTCTCTCCACTGGGTGCCCACTGGCCCGGCTAAGTACCCTGCCTGCCCTGTCTCCCACCCCTCCTGCCCCATTTTGTGGCTCCTCCACCCCACTGCCGCGGGTTTCCTGAGCTGCTCTCTGACTCCACCCCTGGGCCCTCCAGCCCCTTGCTCCCCAAACGGTGGTCTCCATATCTACAACATCAGCATCATCTAGGAGCTCACAGGAATCTTAAGAAATGTGGTCTGAAGCCCCACCCCAGACCCACTGAGTCAGAATCTTCATTTGAGCCAGAAGTGCAGATGATGCCCACGCTTTTCAGAAGCCCTGGTTGAACCAACGCCCTCTGTGAGCCGTGAACCCCGGCCCACAAGCCTATACCCTCAGAGTCCCTTTCCTGGCCCATCAAAGGCTGTGCCCTCCCAGGATGTGCTGGACTGGGCTCCTGGTGCTCAGCAGAGTGTGGGGGAGGGAAGCAGGGTGTGTGCAAGTGTCAAGGGAGGTGGGGGAGGGATGTGGACGGGAGAGTTGTCTGGGGCAGTGGTGGGGGGTGGTGGTGTCTGCAGTGGAGGGAGACAAATGTGTGTGTTGGTGCGGGCGGTGCTGGCGTGGGGGGGGGCGGGGTCAGCGCAGGGGCTGGCCCATGCTTGAAGCAAGCGTCCCAAGTGGGGGCTTGTCCCTGGTGGTGATGGCTGTGGGCAGGTCTCCGCCCTGGTCTGGCCTCTGCGCGCCCTCGCAAGTCCCATTTCATAGGCAGTGGTTCTGCGAATCCATTATCTGCAGCTCCCCCGGGGGCGCTGGTGCTTAATTAGGGCTGAGCCCGGCCCAGGGCTGAGAAACCGGCGGCTCCATTTAATTGGCGATTTCTCTCTTCCTCTTTGCAGTAGCTCCAGGAGGGGACGGGAGTCTTGGGAGTGGCGAGGGGTCTGGCTAGGCTGGGGGCGGGCAGAAGAGGATGGCGTTTTCACTAATTAAATTAATTGATTACCCAGAGTGCTAGGCAAAGGGGCCAGCAGGGGCTGCCACGGAAAGGGTGGGCGGGGCAAGCCGGGCGGGGGTGAGCGCTGCCACCAGACAAAGGGGGTGCCCGTATCACCTATGAACTCATCACCCCCCTCTCCAGGTGAACACTACAACCTTCCCGGAGCGCAGGTGATGAGAGCAAGCGGGGTGGCGGATGGATGGAGCGCCCTTTATAGGCCAAGACTCAGGCGGACACCAGCCTCCCTCCCCTAGGAAGCAGAGATGGTACAGGTTAGCTCTCCCGCCTTTTACAAACCAGGAAGCTGAGACTGAGGCTGAGTTACCTGCCCAGGGTCACACAGCACAGGTATTCCAACCAGAATCCAAATCTCAAAGCTCCTGCCGCCAACAGCCTCCTGCTGTTCCCCTTATACTGCCAAAGAGGGGCGTGATGAGAAGCTGGCGCTAATTCTCCGTCTCCCCTGAACCCACTGGTGGAGAGAGCCAGAGACTGAGTCCTGGCAGAAGGGATGGGGGCTGCAGGATGGAGAGAAGGAAAGGCTGAGGGCAGCTGACCTCTGCCCCTGAGTCTTTGAAGGGTGCTGGGAACAAGGGAGTTGCTGGGGGTCCCCCATCAGCCAACTAGAAGGAAGGGGCTTAAATAAGAGGAGAGATTTGGGGGACCATGGGTGTTCATTGGACTGATGCTGAAGCTGAAACTCCAATACTTTGGCCACCTCATGCAAAGACCCTGATGCTGGGAGGGATTGAGGGCAAGAGGAGAAGGGGAGACAGAGGATGAGATGGCTGGATGGCATCACCAACTCGATGGACATGAGTTTGAGTGAACTCCAGGAGTTGGTGATGGACAGGGAGGCCTGGCGTGCTGCAAGTCATGGGGTCGCAAAGAGTCGGACACGACTGAGTGACTGAACTGAACTGAATTGAACTGAATGTCCTTTGACATTCAGGAAGCTCCCATGCAAGGGGGCAGAGGAGGAGGCTGAAAGCAGCAGTGGCGCCTCCAGCTTTGCAGACTCCAAGAAGGGGACAGACGCCTGCTCCTCTTGGGTGGGAGAGGGTTGCCTGTCCTCAGGCAGGAGGCTGGTGACCTGACCTCTGATTGGAGACACTTGGTTAGCCTCAGGCTCTGCAGACCCAGTACATGTGTGCGTGCTAAGTAGCTTCAGTCGTGTCTGACTCTTTGTGACCCCATGGACTGCAGCTCACCAGGCTCCTCTCTCCATGGGATTTCCCAGGCAAGAATACTGGAGTCGGTGGCCATGCCCTCCTCCAGGGGATCCTCCCGACCCAGTGATGGAACCCGAGTCTCCTAAGGCTCCTGCGCTGCAGGTGGGTTCTTTACCTCAGAGCCAGCAGGGAAGCCCATAGGACAATTAAAGCGCAGGGTGGTACTGCATGGAGTACTGTGGAGCTGCATGCAGCCGGGTACTAGCCCACGTACCACAACTACTGAAGCCTGTGCGCCCTAGAGCCTGTGCTCTGCAACAAAAAAGTAGCCCCAGCACACCGCAACTAGAAAAAAAAAGCGTGCTAAGCAATGAAATCCAGAGCGGCCAAAAATAAATAAATTTTAAAAGTTATTATAAAAAGATGGGATGGAGGGTCCACAAGGTCTCTTTCAATTTAGATCATTTAGGCACTGGAATTCTCCGAACTGCCCAGACCAGCCCCTCTCTTCCACACCAGTAGCCTGGGGTCTTTGGACAACTTGGGGCATCTTCCATCTGCCCTTTGCTCACTTCTTCTTCCAGCTCCATGACCCCCCACCTTCCTCAGCATCCACTGAAGGATGAAGATGCAGGTGAGGGGGTCAGGGCTCAGAGGTATCAGCAACACCAGGACAACAGACGTACCCGTGTGTCTGCCAAACGTCACCCTTGAAAGATTATTCATTGCAGCGCTGTTTGTCATAACCAAAGACTGAGAACAAAGACGGGTTAAATAAGCTATCTGTACATCTGTATGGTGTGATATTATGCAAATGTGAAAAAAAGAATGAAGACGCTCTTTAGGCACTTCATACAGAACAATCACCAAGATGGATGATTATGTGAAAAAAGCAAGGTGTCGAACAGGTATAACCTACAACGTTTGGGTGGAAAACACACAAAAAAAGAATAAATATACATAATTGCATGTCTGTGAAGAGACTGCCTCTGAAAGAATACTTAAGAAACTGGCAAAATGGTTACCGCTGGGCGGGGTAGAGGGAACCCAGTGACTGGGCCACGGCTGGGAGGGAGACTTTTCTGTTTTCCCATTTGTATCTTTTGAATTTTGTATTAGGTGTGAGCAGCATCTTTCTCAAAAACATTTAAATATTTAAAAGGCTCTTCAAGGGCTTTTTCCAACTCCGTGGCTCCCCCCACCCCCATCCTGGATCCTGAGGCAGGACCCTGGCCCGACCTGGATGTGTCGCTCAGGTGGGTGGGGGAGAACACGGATGAGAACCGGCTCCAGTGAGGAAGGAAGGAACGGAGACTCAACCCACCGCTGTCACACCGCACCCGCTGCCCTCTCGGCTCACCCTCCCTCGGGCATGCCCGCTCATGGCTGGCCTAGATCTGGCTCCCCAGTCGGCTTCTATCCGCAGGGCACAGACACCAGCCTCTGGCTCCCCACCCCGACGGGCCAGTAGCAGGCACAGGGCGGTGCGGGGGGCCCAGGCCCAGGCCTCAGTGGGCAGCTGGCTTGGAGCCTCACCTCCTCGCTGAGGATCTCTTGGCACTCGGAGTAGTTCACGCGGGCGGCCCATGTGCCGTTGGCCAGGCACTCCCGGTAGCCGTTGTCTGGAAAAAGAAGAGCGAGTCAGAATGACCCCAGGCTCCTCTCCCAAAGAGGAGTAACCCGAGCATCATCTACCTGCCGTTTGTATGTCCATCTGGGGCAGCCCAGGAGCTGGCTTGCTAGGGGGCCCTAGGGTAATGCTGGGGAGGGGGCTTTCTTATTATTTCCATCTTCTTGCCTCTTTCTGCCACTGGCCTGCAACAGAGGTACAGTGGTGACCCCAAAGCCTGCCCATGGGGCCATGGCTGTGCCCACCCACGCTGGCACGATCACGCCCATGGGACTGGCCCAGGGGTAGAGGCCGACTGGCTCACTGGGCTGTCTCCTCGCAGGCCCCAGTGTGAGGCAGAGCACACAGTGGGTGCCCTTCTGAGAAGTCTCCCATTTTGGGGGCTCACGTGGCAGCAAAGCTGAAGGGTGAGTCCTGATGACTCAGTTCTCGCTCATGAGGCCCGGCGTGATGCAGAGGGGTGTGGTGACAGCTCGCGTGGACTGACAGACTCCATGGGGCAGGACTCACCGTGGTAAGGTCCCCCCGGGGGGTCCTCACATGGCAGGCTTTCACAGGGCATGGGGCTCACGGGGCAGGGATAGGGAAGGTCTCCAGGACGCATTCCCCTACAGCAGGCCTTATGTTGGAGAGTCACATGGTGGGAGCATTGAATGGTGGAGAGAAAATGACAGGTGGCCAGAGATGAGGGATGTGCTGGGGGATGTCATGGGAGTGGGTCGCATATAGCAAGTATTTTATTATTAAGATCTGCTCGAACTGGCTCCCAACCTGGCACTTGGGGAAAAAGACAGGAGAGTGGCCGGGGGAGAGGCAAAAGGTCCAGGCTACCGCCAACCTGGAAGCCAGAATGGGTCACTTCCGAAGGACATGGGGAACTGCCTGAGGTCTAAACCGAGGCTGGCTAAAGGGCTCTGGGCCACTCTCCTTCCTGCCCGCTCTCTGGGGACACCGAGGCCCTGAAGCCCAGGTGGGAGGGGTCCAAGGGACACTCACATCTTGACCTTTTTCAAGGTCAGAGGTCGCTCTGCCCCGCTCTGGACCCCTCTTAGGCTCTAAATATATTTTCTTGAGTGAATTCTGGCCCTGACTCCAGGCAGCGCTGGCTGCAAGAGCCTTGAGCCATTTCCACCAGAGCGCCTCCCCTCTGGAGGCCTCTCCATGGCTCACACTGACCTGCATGTCACATCTCCAGCCCAGCAGGGCTGGCGGAGGGTGGGGGAAGCTGCTGGGATCCCAGTCCCCAAGCCTGGAGCCCTGCAGGGGCAGAGGACCCCATAGGAGGCAGATGGGGGCCCCTGCTGCATGAGTGACATCAGTCACGTGGCCTCCCGGGACCCTCTCCTCCTGTGCAAGAGGGAGGGCTACATCAGCCGATCCCCAGGGTGCCGTCCAGCCCGGACGTGCCTCTGCGGGCAGCACCAGGCAAGAGGGAGAGAATGGGGGTGTGTTTGGGGGGTGGGGCTGGGGTTTGCTGCCGCTTGCCTGGGAGCGGGAACCTCCGCCTGGCTCTCCGTCCTCTCTAAACCCCGCTCCTCGGCCCTTCTGCTCAGAGGCTGCTCGTCTACAGCACCAGTGGGGAAATGAGGCTAAATGGATTTTTAAAGCTCTGCTCAGCTTCCCTGCCATTGGACCCAAGTCCCAGCAGAGCTGAGCCCTTGGGCAGAGTTGAAAATGCTGCTCATTCTCTCCTAATTGCTAAATGAGAGAGAAGCTAGCAGAGGGCTGAGGGCTCCATGGCTGGGGTTTCAGGGAGGCTTGGGGGGAGGCAAGGAAGCTGGGGAATCCTATGTGTCTGTGGTGGATGGGAGGTGCCTGGGACCAGAGGCTGCTCCCAGATGTCTGCAAATAAAGGGACTTGGTGCCGGAGAATCTGGTGGGAAGGAGCATGAGGGAAGGGGAGGGGGTGTTGCCTTAAGGGAGGCAGCACACTATAGTGTTAAGAGCTTGTCACCCAGACAGGGCTTCCCAGGTGGTGCTAGTGGTAAAGAACCCGCCTGCCAATGCAGGAGATGTAAGACACGTGAGTTCAATACTGAGGTTGGGAAGATCCTCTGGAGGAGGGCGTGGCAACCCACTCCAGTATTCTTGCCTGGGAAATCCCATGGACAGAGGAGCCTGCTGGGCTATAGTCCATAGGATCACACAGAGTTGGACATGACTGTGGCCATTTAGCACAGCACCCAGATAGCCTGGGTTCAAATCCTGGCAGCACCCTTTACTAGCTCTGTGACCTCAGTCGAGTCCTTCAGTCTCTCCGCTTCCTTATCTGCAAGATAGGAATGATCTTAACAAGAGTTCCTGCTCAGTGGTTGAGGGGCATTTTTAGTTGATACATACAGGGTATGTGGAGCTCTACCTGGCATGTGGTGTGAGCTGTTACTTTTATTATTATTGTCTTGGAGCTATATTTATACAACCTTACATAAGATTCAGAATATGTCACTTGTCGCTATCAAAGGAGGAACAGGTCCAGGAGGCACCCCCTTGCCTCAAGCCCCCCCTTTTGAATCCTGCAGGTGGGGCAGGAGCCTGGAGTCCCTCCCAGGCCAGATCATCCGGAGGGAGCAGGCTCTGGTGGGAAGTGGGGTGATCCTGCAAGAAAACAGGCCCAACAGGCAGCATGAAGTTTCCAGGGAGGATGCGACCTCCTTGTCTTTAATTGCTGAGCTGAGCAGTCCTCCTGGAGAATCATGGGGAAATTGATATTTTTAGAAATATTTCCCATCCCTTTGAAGATCAGATGCAGTGGGAAGGAGGGCGTTCGGGAGAAGGCCTAGACGTCCTGGCAGCACCTCCTCAGTAAACAAATTAATTGGTGCCTAATGATTAGGTACTAATCTGGGTTCCCAGTCGCCCCTGATTACGCGGCGTTTCTCATCATTGTGACAGGGGAGGCATCTGGAAAGGGGAGTCTCCTAGCCCTGCCCCCACCTCAAGGGACTGCCACCTCCTCCCGCTCTTCTCCTAGGAGCACGGACGGAAGAGCAAAGGAGAGAACACTTCACCCAAAACTCCCACCCATCCTGCAGGTGGAGAAACTGAGACCCCGGGCAGGGCCAGTTGCAGAGGGCCTCTTAACCAGTTGTGGTGGAGTTGGGACTAGAACCCAGGACTCCGGGCTTCCACTCAACGGCAGGGCTGACAAATCGAGTAGCATGTGTCTAGGCACCAAAGGTGGATTCAGGGGGGTGTTGAGTTGTCCTTGGGGACAAGAGCGGGGGCAGTTCATGGGGAGCGGCCAGGGCTGGCTACAAAGGTAGGTCGCATAGTAGCCACAGAGAATGGATTCGACCTTGGGGGCAACGGAGAACCACAGAAAGGCTGACTCCGAGCAAGGGTGTGACAGGCTCGGGTGAGGAACTAGGACTGGAGAGTGAGGTACCTTGAACCAGGGCAGTGGTTGGGGATGGAAGGCAGGGAGGCTCAGATGTGAGAATCACTTTGGAGGTGGAGCTGACAGGACCTGGTGCTATCATGAGCGGGGTTGCAGGGCTCCTTCTGGAAGTAGCCCCCCACCCCCCAACATACACCAGCCCTAATGTTGCCTCCCTCCAGGGAGCTCCCGGCCGGGCATCCGGCCGGGTGAGTGAAGGAGCAGGAGGACCCTGGTCTCCCATCTCCAGTGCCAGCTCTGAGCTTTGCGACCTTGGGCGATTTCAGCCTCACTGCCTCCATTTCCGAATGGTAACAGGGGTCCAACTAAGTTGGAGGTTGACAGGATGAGCACCCAAAACTTTTCTTCAGGTCCTTCTGCCCTTCCTCCTACTTATATTCTCCTCACACCTCCTCCAGGCTCTCTTCTCCTCCTGGGTGCAGGCTGGGGTTGCAGACACACAAGGCGGCATGGTCTGGCTGTTCCAGCCTCCTGCCCAGTCCCAACACCTCCCAGGGCCCTCCCTACCCCTCCTTGACTATGGCCCCTAACCCTAGCCCCCTTCAACCAGCTGGTAAAAAAGGGGAGGGGCAGGAGAAGGAAACTGAGAGTTTTGAGCTAGACAAAGTCTTAAGAAGCCGTGTGTCCAGCCCTCTCCATCCTCAGATGAGAGGCCAGAGGACCATAAAAGAGGGGGAAAAAATGTGCTAAAAGTCACACAATTATCTGGTGTCTGAGGTCACCCTCTGTCCCCTCTTCGGACTCTAAGTTCAGGCCCAGCAGACCCCAAAGGCTCACCCAGGGAGCCCCCCTCTCCCTCAAACAGGTCAGGGCCCCTGGCCTGCAGCTGTTGCTCTCTTGATAAGCAGGGGCTGTGAGTCATTGACAGGGGAGAGCAAATTAATTCTGAGGGTGACAGGTGGCATAGCAAGAAGCTGCAAAGCCTGGAGGGGGAGGCTCAGGGCCCAAGGGAAGCAGGGTGTTTATGTGAGGATCAAGTATCTGAACAAGCCCTGCCCGGGTCAGTTCTCCTCTGTCCCCACCCCACTTGTGGGCCTACCTGCAAGGACAAGACCCCTGCCTGTGGATCTAAAACCCTGATTCCCCTGCCTCGTGGCTGAAGGACCCTGGGTAGGCCTGGGAACTTCTCTGAGCAAAGTTGGGGCTACCCTGATGAGCCCTGCCCTACCTCATGGCTCATGCCAACATTAACCCAGTAGGTCAACTGCAGAAGGACGTGTCAGACAGAACTGGATGCAAATTCTAGCTTCACCTGTTACTAGCTGGTGATCTTGGGCAACTTCCCTGACCTCTCTGAACCTCGGAGGCCTTAATTATATAACATAGTTACATGTAGCATCTTCCAGGGTATTGCTGAGTATAAGCAGTAAATAGCAGAGTGCCCGGTAGAACACAGAGCTGGCCTTTGGTCCATGGCAGCTGTACCCATGAATGGTATCGGTATTATTATTGTCACTGTCAGTATTATTTTCCCCACCTCCAACAAGCCCCCAGTTCTCTGCATCCTGTCCCACCTCCCAGGAGATGGTCTACCTTTCTCAGGCTCCCTTACTTGTGGTGTTGTAGCGGACGCCGTAGAAATAAGCGGGGCAGGGTCGAACCACCAGCTGCCCTGCAGGACTCTGGGGCCAGCAGGTACCAATAAGGTCCACGGAAGCATTGCACTGCAGTCCTGGAGGCAGAGACAGCTGGTGAGACAAAGCAACATCCCCACTCCAGTGTCCCCCCAACTGGTCCACATTCACACACCAACTAAGGACAGGACAGCAAAGACCCCAATGCAGAGATGAACTCTTTTTCTGCAGGGGAGATACCAAGGGAAGGAATCTGAATTTGATGCCATGGCACTAGGGAGCCAATGTGGGTTCCAGAGCAAAGGAGGGACAGAGACACTGGGGTGGTGTTAAAGCCGAGGTCCTGGCTGGCATTTAGAGGAAGGCTGGACATGCTCCAGGTCCCCTGCTCTGTAGTCTGAGGACACTTCTCTTGGCCCTGCCTTGGTGTAGACCGGAGCGCCCAGAATTCACAGCTTGGAAGAAACCCAGCCAGTCCCCGACTCAGTCCCCTCACACACCTCTAGAACCAAACCACATCTGCTCTGAACCTGTAGGAATCAGTTAAAAGATGTTGGCCCACCTTCCAGCTCACCTGATGACCATAATCACTGAACATTTGTGCTCTAATCTGTACTAGAAAAGGACCTAGGAAAGGGCTGGCTGAGAGGGATCATGGAGAAAAAAGGGAGAGAGACACTATGTGGGGAATTACTGAACTAGTAATCCGGAACCCAGGCTTCAGACGGGGCTCTGCTATTCATCTGCTGTGTGAGCATAGGCAAGTCACTTGCAGCCTCTGGGCCTTAGTGTCTCTATCAATAATGAGGTAGTTGGATCTGATCAGAAATTCTTAATCTCAGTCCACTGGAAATTCTACAGGTTCTTACAGACTTTGAAATTTAATGAAAAATTTGTTCTATACATGCATTTTAATTGGGAAAGGGACCATGGCTTTCCTTAGATTCTCAAAGGGAGTCTGACTCAAAAAAGGATGTAAACAACTGGACCAGAAAGAGGATGTCAAAATCCCCCTCCAAATGTTTGCCCTTAATTAAGAATTAAGAGCTTTTGGAGTCGTGTGTGTGTGTGTGCACGCACGCGCACACTGGAGCAGAGTTGAAGTCATAGTAACACTTCTGGAGGGCAGGGGGCTTTTGGTCTCCAGCAGGTGGGGGCTGGGCTGAGGACAGTCCTGGCCCCCCTCCTGATGCTGCCGCTTCCTTCTCCCCCTTTCCAGGCCCCTCTCCTCTCAAGGCTGGCACACCAGTCCTATGGAAGCCCAGTGTGTCCATCAAGATGGGAGTGGGGTTAGTAACTCAAGACTGGCCTTAGAATGTACAGACAAGCCAGGGAGAACCATGAACCAATGAAGGGACAGCATTATCAGTGCCTGCACTGCAGCTGCATCAGCAGCTGCCAAGCCCTAGAGGGGCCCGCCTCCCCAGCCAAGCCTGTGCCCAGTCTCTCAGGAAACAGCACTGGTTAGACTGGCGTCTCTTCCCTGTTGAATGCAACACAGTGCGGGGCAACCCTTGTACCAAATGCTGGTTTTTCTTTCTAATCAAAGCTATTCATAGGGTGTGTGGGCAAGTCCAGACTCAAGGGACAGAGGCCTCGAGGCCAAGTGTTTTAACTGAAAGAGAAATCGGAATTGGGGCTTCATGGACACAAGGAGACGGCTAGCCAGGCGGTGGAGGTGGGTCAAGCCCTGGCACTGTGCCACCATGGCGCCTCCATGAGTGGCATCACAGAGAGGTGCTGGGGGTAGGGGACTGAGGAAAGCAGGTTGAGATTTTAATCTGCCTCGGGCCCTGCGGATAGAGCTGAGCCCGGAGAAGGGAAGAAGCTGCGGGTGTGTGGCTGTGGGGAGGCAGGGACAACATTATGGACCGTGTTCTGTGTTTTTCAAAGCCCTTCTTCATGTATTTTGTTTGCTCCTCACCCACCCTGCAATGCCATTATTCCCCCTGTCTAAAAATTTACAGATTTGTTATTCCCTTTTTACAGATGAGAAAACTGAGGCCCAGGGAAGTTAAGTGACTTGCCCAAGGTCATGGGCCAATGAATGAAAGAACCAAGCCTCATCACCAGGTATTTTGGACTCTAAATCGAGTACTCTTTCTATTATACCACACTGCGTGCCAATCTGGGGGGTGGGACAATCGAGGAGGCAGTAGGGAAAGAAGCAGTATTTACTGAGAGATGAGTGAGTGCCAGGCATTTGCTGAGTGCTTCCATCTACCTGTATATCTACATGGGTTTCCCTGATGGCTCAGACGGTAAAGAATCTGCCTGCAACGCAGAAGACCTAGATTCAACCCCTGGGTTTGAAAGATCCCCCTGAGAAAGGAATAAGACTACCCACTCCAGTATTCTTGCCTGGAGAATTTCATGGACAGAAGAGCCTGGTGGGCTACAGTCCATGGGGTTGCAAAGAGTCTGACATCACTGAGCGACTAACACTTTGACTTTTCATATATCTACATATACCTATATCTGACTTAATAACCTTCCTCAATAGATGGTTCATTCACTCACACATTCACAGTTTAGGCTCTGGGAGCATTAAATGGAATGTCACGTGTGGCACCTGGGACTTGCCTAAGGCACACTCTCAGTGTAGCACCTGCTTTTTCTCCCCGCCCTCTCTCTCTCTCCGGCCCTGGACAGTCCCCCAGCACCCCTTCAACATAGGTTAGATCACCACTGGGCACCAGCCACAGCCAAGACCAGCCCAGAGCCAAGGCAGAAGCCCACCGCTCAGCTGATGGCCCTCCTGGTCTCTAGGACCAGGTCCCAGCCAGTGCCCAGAGGCCTGACCCCGCCCACAGCTAGTCGGGGAGATGCAAGTGGGAGGGGCCAAGGGAGAAGCCTTTTGCCCCTAGTCTTCCGTACAGATTAGAATTCCACAGCACCTAATACGGGTCTCACACCAACTGCCAACGTGGGTGCTCATTCTCCCCATTTTACAGATAAGAAAACTGACGCCCAGCAGATTGTTTATCCTTAGTCACACAGACACTAAGAGGCAGAGGTGGGTTTTCATGCCTGCCCAGGGCTCTTCCCACTGCACCACAGTGGTCCCCAGGCTGGGCAATTGGCTCCCACAGCATTTGGTTACGCCCGTCCGTGTGCCTTGGGTTCCTCCGCTGTCTCCCTCCCTCCCTCATCCTGCGAAGCTCACAAAAGGCTGCACGGAGCTGGCTTGGGGGGGAACATTGCAGCAGACGTGACCTTTACATTAACAGCCCAGAAAATCCTGCAGGGAATGAACGTCTGTGTGCGAGACCGGGAGAAAGGGAGAGAGGCAGCGAGAATGAAGAAGAGAAACCAAATGCAAGGGGCCAGGAGACGATGTTGCCCCTACCTCCGGAATAAAAGGCCCCGCTAGCTGGCCTGGGGTCCGGGCGGGGGTTGGGGGTGGGGGGGGGTGGTGAGGGTTGGTGGGCGGGGCCTGGGGGAGGCGGAGCCAAGCAGGAGTGTGGCTAGAAGCACAGGGCCAATCAGGAGCGGCGACCAGCTCTGACTCCTAGAAAGTTCAAAGCCTGGGTTGGCCCCTTGATTTTAGGGAGCGGATGGAGAAGGGAGAGGTAGAGAGCGAAAAGAGAAAGGAAGGAAGAGAGCTAGGGATCCAGAGATCGAGGGACGGGAGAGGGCTGCAACCTCTGAAGGGGAAGGGTGTACAGGATTTGAGGGGGTGGCGGTAAAAAACCTTTGTCAAATACTGCTTCCTTGTGGCTCGGCTGGTAAAGAATCCGGCCGCAATGCGGGAGACCTGGGTTCGATCCCTGGGTTTGGAAAGACCCCCTGGAGAAGGGCAATGTGAAAGGCACTGATGAAATTCATACCACCCATTCAATTCACTTCATCACTTTGAGAAGAATAGCGCGTGGGGTGGGAGGGAAGGGGGGAAGAAGTGGAGAGGGAGAGGGTGAGAGAAGAAATAGGAGACAAGACACTGAGAATAAAACAGATAGAAGCAGACAGAAAGTCAGCAGAACAAGGTAAAGAGAAAAATAATTCCAGAGGTGTGGGGGTGGGGAGGACCTGGATCTTCTAGTTGGGAAGGGGAGAAGGAAGGAAAGGAAGTCCTGGTGTCAGTCAGCATGGGGCCTATAAGGACCTCAAGGTCAGGGCTGTTGGACTGTGATTACTGGAACAATATCCATCCCCTGCAGGTCCCACTGGGCTTCACTGGTGGCTCAGACAATAAAGAATCTGCTTGCAGTGCAGGAGACCCAGGTTCAATCCCTGGGTCAGGAAGATTCCCTGAAAAGGGAATGGCTACTCACTCCAGTATTCTTGCATGAAGAATTCTATGGACAGAGGAGCCTGGCAGGGTTACAGTCCATGGGGCCCCAAAGAGTCGGACACGACGGAGACTTCAGGAAGCACAGGTCCCACTGGTACAAATGCCCAATCTTTCCTGCACTCCTGGGGGATATTTTCCCACTTTAATATCATAGTTATGGGGTGAGAAACAGTTTGGACCAGAGTAAACCAGCCTTGCAAATAGCCAAGCAGAATTACTAGTCAGCAGCATTAAGCCTGAGTTACTTTTAGGAGCCAACTCCTCCCCACTTCAACCCATCCCATGGAGCCCCTCCAGGTCTGTGAGGTAATGGATGGGGAGGAATAACGACTTTATTCTTTATTCACAAGTTTTTACTGTAGGAGCTACAGTTAAAAAAAAAAAAGAGAGAGAGAAGAGAGGGAGAGACTGAGAGCTATTTTAATTTGGTGCTAACATTTAAGCAGGGACCCAACAGAAGTGAGAGAGGGAACTTTGTGCATAGCTGGGGAGTGGGGAGGGAGTGTTCTAGGAAGAGGGAACAGCAAGTCCAAAGGCCCTGAGGCAGGTGTGTGCTCACCGTATCTGAGGTGTTAACATTCCTATCACGTGGTGGATCACCTCCTCACTCGTGGGGTACCTAGATCCCTCAGAGTTTTTTCTGGAGACAGGGGAGTGGAGCCAGGTAGTGCGTGAAACTGGTCATACATCTTCCTCCTTCCCCACACATGCCCAGAGCAGACACGGGGGGTGGGGCCCTGTGGTCAGCCTGCCCCAGATCCCTGAGAATGGAGGGAAGAGGAGAGGGGAACAGCATCCCACCAGCTGAGTCAGAGTCCTCGGGGAACTGCTTTAATGAATAGATAAGAACCCTTTGAAGGGTTCTTTGAAGAACTCTTTGAAGAACCCTTTGAAAGCTTGTGTACAACTGGGCACTGGGTTCTTCCCCTAGATGGATTATTTAGTTCCCTTTCCATTGTGTTCAGGAGCCGGATGTGCTCAGCAGATCTTTCCATGGTAGGTAACTTCCGAGGAAGACTGGGGCCTGGTTCCTGTCTCTAGTTATGTCGAGTCTCCCATCGGGGGCTTCTGAATGAGCCAGGTTAGGTGGGCACTTGGCAGGAAGCACGGCTGGGAAGCCCAGGCCCCTGTTTGGTTTAAGCCCAGGAGAGGAGCTCAGCCAAGGCCGCCCAGAGGGGTCAGCAGGTGGCCCAAGGGCAGCCTCTGAAACACACATGCTTGCCCTTTCTGGGAAGCTGCTGCTAGGATGAATGGGCAAGGGCTCTGCCTGGGTCACCTGGCAGGGAGAAGCCGGGCGTAGAGTCTTTTGCTCTTTGCTCAGCCATCTTGTCATTGGGCTGTGACCTCCTCGACTGGGCAGAATAGAAAGATGCCTTTGTACGGGGTGTGATTCCTCAGGATATATGTGTGGGAGCCTCCTATCCTATGGGCTCTTCATTTTTGCATTCCTGGCACCTAGTACAGTGTCAGGAACATAGCAGGGCCTAAGGAAGATCGGGGGCTGTGTATAAACCCAGTATAGGTATGGGACACTTCAGGGGTGACTCTGCACCCCAGATGACTGACCAAGCAGGCCCTGGATACCATGCCTCTCTGGGTGACCACATACATAGTGGTGCAAATGTCCAGAATCAGGCCCATTTGATTCAAATCTTAGGGCTAGTGCTTAGTAACTGTGTGTGCTTGGGCAAGTTACTTAACCTCTCTGAGCTGTAGGTTCCTATCTGTAAGATGATGATAAAAATACTTGCTAACAATATTGTTGTGATGACTGAATGAAGTTAAAGCACTTAGAATGGAGTCTGACATGTAACAGCCACTAAGTACATCTTTGTTGTTGTTTTGTTTAGTTGCAAAGTTGTGTCCAACTCTTTGGGACCCCATGGACTATAGCCTGCCAGGCTTCTCTGTCCATGGGATTTCCCAAGCAAGAATACTGCAGTGGGTTGCCATTTCCTTCTCCAGCGGATCTTCCTGATGCAGGAAGTCTCCTGCATTGACAGGTAGGCTCTTTACCACTAAGCTGCCAGGGAAGCCTAAGTAAATATTAGCTATCATTATTTATTATTATCACTCATGACCTTCAGACAGGGAATTACCCTGGGTCCTTGTCAGCAATATGATTTCCATGTGTCTCTGATGTTCACTGGTCAATAATTCTATTACTTTCTAGCATCATCATATTCATACCATTATTTTATACGTTTCCAAGTCTGTGGTCTGCCACATAATGGAGTCTTGACCCTGGGGATGCACTTTCTCCCTGCTCCTGGCATGTGAGAGGCCCCCCAAAGGGCCCCAGCTCAATGCCAGCCACCCCAGGCCAGACGCCCATCCATCTGTCTCAGTCCCTCCACCCCACCCTCACCATCTGTCTCTACCAGTGCCCATCGGTCTGGGTAGGTCTTAGCGCTGGAAGACAAATAGCCTGTTTTCAGAGGCTGCTGTGGAGGGTGATGGACTGCGTGCCTTGAAGCCAGGCAGACTGGGCTGGGGGCAGGGACACGGGGTACAAATCATCAGGGAATGGATGACATTCATCACGGCCCGCTGCCTCCGAGGACTGATGACACCGTCATGGGCTCAGGAATGTCACTGTGCAGGAGCACAACAAGCCAGTTAATGGAGACTGACCTGCCCCCCATCACCGCCCACCCCCCGCCATCAGTGCACGGGGCCTGGGACAGGGAGAGGCTCCATCTCAGGCCAGGCCTCTGAGTAGGTCTCCTCCCTCCCAGGCTTTCTCCTCTAGAGCTCCAGACTCTTGCTCCAGAACTTTCCCATTCCTCAGGGCCCAGCTTAGCCAACTTTGCAGCCAGATGTTCTGGGCTGTCAATATCTCCCCAGGCTTCCTGCCCTTCCCGTCTCACCCCTCCCCTGTTCTTCCACCAAACCCACCTGCTGGTCCTCGGTCAACTCTAGCTTTGACTCAGAACATTGACTCTTCTCTGCCAGTCTCTGCTCAGAATCTCTCAGAGACTCGCCTTGAAACTTCCTCCTTCAGGAAGCCTTCCTAGGTTCACACCACCCTGATCTAACCTTCCTGCCGCCTCCACTGTAGTGAGCAGTTCATGGCCAGTGTCTGCCTCTCATTCCAGCTACAAGGTAAGCACTTTTAAAAGCCTGTTCTATGGAGAAGGAAATGGCAACCCACTCCAGTATTCTTGCCGGGAAAAGTCCATGGACAGAGGAGTCTGGCAGTCTGCAGTCCATGGGGTTACATGACTGAGCATGTGTGCACGAGGGTGGAGGGAGATGGGTTGGTAGCAAAAAACTGGTAGAACTAATAAATAAATAAATAAATAAAAGCCTACTCTTACCAACAATAATAAATAATACTCAATAGTGGTATGGCTCTCTACAGTTTATGAAATATTGCCATTAAATGTAGTGCATTTAATTGCAATGGATCCTTGAGGCAGGTATCAGCCATCCTACTTTTCAATTACAGAGTGAGGCTCAAGGAACTCAAGGGCATGCTCATCCCTGAAGTCAAGGGTTACCAGCGGGGACCCTAGGGCAGACAAAACAAGACTGAGCTCCACTATGAGCACGGGAACACAGTGCTCCAGGTCCCATTCTTCCCCTACCTCCTCCCCCTGCCAGTAGGGAGGGAACAGTAGGCTAGGGAGCAGCTGCTCGGCACTGTGGAGTCCTCCTCTCCCCGCAGGCCCAGAATCAGAAACTCCCTGCTTCCCTGTAGCACACGGCAGCCGTTTCTCCACCAGCACGCGTCTTGTGCTCCTCACAGCACATGGGTTTATGGACTTGACCCCCAGACCAGACTGTCAGCCCCTCTTTGTTCTGCAGGGAACATGGGTCCTGGCACACAGTAGGTGCTCAGTTAATGAGTTGGATTAAATCACACAGAGAGACCTGCAGAGAAAAAGGAATTACCAAAGAAGCTTCCCTCAAAGACCCTCAGGTGCCCCTCTCCATCTTCACTGGGCAATAGCATCACCAGGACCCTAGTTAAAGGGGTCAGGATGAGGGTTCAGGGACCACACTCCAGATTAGAAAAGGCGTGGCCCGGGAGCCCCCAAACCTAATTCTCCCATCCCAGTTTCCTCATGAGCATAAATTGTTGTTTAGTTGCTAAGTCGTGTCTGACCCTTTGTACCCCCATGGACTGCCGCATGCCAGTTTCCTCTGTTCTCCACTATCTCCGGGAGTTTGCTCAAACTCATGTCCATTGAGTCGGTGATGCTATCTAACCATCTCATTTTCTGCCATCCCCTTCTTTTGCCTTTAATTCTTCCCAGTGTCAAGGTCTTTTCCAGTGATTTGGCTTTTTGCATCAGGTGGTCAAAGTATTGCATCTTAAACTCTTGTGAGGATGAAATAGGATTATTATACAAAAGCACTTTGTAAATGGTGAAATTATACAAGTATTAGTAATATTTACAGTCCTTTCTGTTGAGGAGGGGTAGAGTACGGTGCTAAGGGATATACGTGGAAGCCAGGTTTCCTGGGCTCAAGTCGGCTCAGCACTTACTAGTTCTGCTCCAGGCCTCAGTTTCCTTATGTGTAAAAGGGATATACCCGCAACTGCCTCAGGAGGTCATTGTGAAAACTGGGTTAATACACAGATAGTCTCGACTTACGATGGTTCTACTTAATGATTTTTTGACTTTACAATGGCTTGAAAGCAATATGCATTCAGCACAAACCACACTTCTAATTTTGAAGTTTGACCTTTTCCCAGGCTAGTCATGTGGTACAATCCTCTCTCCTGATGCTGGGCAGTGGCACTAGCCACAGTCCCCAAACAGTCATGCGATCATGAGAGGAAACAACCGTCAATGCACTTACAACCACTCTGTACCCACACAACCATTCTGGTTTTCACTTTCAGTATGCTGTAAATGACATACAGTACTTTAATCTAAAAAAAAAAAAAGGCTTCGCGTCAGATAGTTTTGCCCAACTGTAGCTAATATAAGTATTCTAAGCATGTCAAAATAGATGAGTCTAAGCCATGCCTAGGTTATGTGTATTCAGTGCATTTTCGGCTTATGGTATTTTCCACTTACGATGAGTTTATTTGGACATTACCCCATTGTGAGTCAAGGAAGATCTGTTCTCGAACACCTCAGAAGGTGCCCTGCACATAGCTGTTGTTCAGTCACTTGTCTGACTCTTCACGACCCCATGGACTACAGACTTCACTGTCCCTCACCATCTCCTGGAGTTTGCTCAATCCTTTGTCCATTAAATCGGTGATACCATCCAACCATCCAGCCATAGTTAGCACCCTACATATTCTGCTCCGGGCATTTTTAGCAGCAGAACAGTAGGCTCTCTTCCTCACTGACGCCTGAGTCACAGCCCAGCCTTCTGCTCTGTTGATTTTCACAGCAGCAAGGGCTGGGGTGTCTTCCTCTGTTTTCTAGCCCAGAGCCAGAAGATAACACCTGGGCACACTTGCCCCAAGCCCCTCTGTCACCTAATCACAGCTCTCTTTCCCACCACTCCTACATCCAGCTTCAGGATCCTCCTCAACACGGCTCTCTGTGGACACATGATGGATCGCTTGGAGCCCCAGAGAAGAATCTCCTGCTATCCCTGCCCTCTCGCGGGCCGTGTGCAGGTGTTGGAGGCCTGGGGGAGATGGGTGCTGGGGCTCTGGGGACCTGGAACCTTGCAGGAGGCAGATGGGCATGCTCACCAGAGACGTTGCTGGCCACGGACAAGCTCTCGCAATGCTGGTCCTGGAGGGAGGCAGAGATGGAGTTCAGCCCCAGGAGGAGAAGGGCCTGTGGGCACAGGAGGCGAGGGACTCGGTTAGACTGTGCCAGGAGCAGTCTGGACTGCAACTTCCTGCCGCCTCTAGTCTCCTTCCTCCTCCGTACAGTCTTATCCAGACACACGCCCTTCTCCCACCAACCCAGCCTCCCTGCCCTCCTGCCCCGTCTCCTTCTTGCCTACAACGTCCGGGGCTGCCCTGCTCTCGGAGGAACCTGAAAAGGAGGCAGGTGACAGCAGGAGCCCAGGTTCCCGAGACAGAGGTGAACTCTCTCCCTGAGGGCAGGGAGGCTCTGTCTGAGAAAGCCACCTCCATCCTCACGGGATCACAAGGATGGCAGAGCTGTGTCCCAACACACAGACATACAGACACACAGAGACACACACATCCCCCCACCTGCCCCCTGAGCACCCCTCCCCTCCCCTGGGCTCACAGAAGCCCCCCAATAGTGAGCCTGCCTCCCTGCCTTACTCCCTCCCCAGCTGCAGGAGCTCAGAGCCCGCGGTTTAATGAGCTGCCTCACCGGCCCTCATCCCTGCCCAGCTAATTACTGGTCACTGTAAATTGTGCCTGAACCATCTACCAAGTCCTTTTACGTCCACGATGATACTTCACTCTCTGTGGGGCAGGTGTGGCTGTCCCTGACGAGGAAGCCGAGGCCCCTAGAGAAGAAGGGATAAATGTGTCTGGAAAGATGGGGTGCCTTATTCCAGGGAGAATCTCTGCTTCTTACATCCCTGGGGACTCTGTATCACTCTGATTCCAAAATTTTGGCCTACTGGGGACAGTAGCATGGGCTCCACACCTGGAGGGCTGTCCCTCCTTCACCTAACACCCCCGCACAATCACTGTGCTCCCTCCCTTGGGTCAACACCCTCCCTGTGGATTTAGAGTCAAGACACCTGGCGTCCAGCCCCAGTCTCACTGTGTTGCCGTGGGCAAGTTACTTGACCTCTCTGTGCCTCAGTTTCCTCACCTGTAAAGACTGGCATAATAGCCTCCCCATCTCCCCAGGCTTACAGGATGCAGGGTATATAGGAGTCCTTTGTAAGCAGCACAGCTTGCTCCAAGAGGGCAGGGATTTTGTTTTATTCATTGCATTCAAATTTGCTGAATACATTAATGGGTTACATTGTGTTTCAGGTCTACAACAGGCACTCAATAGGTCACGATGAATGATTTGAACTTGGCGATTCCCATTTAGTCAAGGGTTGGAGGCTAGACGATTGTATTCCTAGGATTTAATTTGTGAAGGGCTAAGAAGCATGTGGGGGTTTGGGGTAGGGAAGGATGGTGATCAGCCCCTCCTTCCAGTTGTCAGGACATGGGAGCCTGGTGACCTGCAGAGCTCTGTCTCCCTGACCTCATGGGAGACCTCTCTACATCACCACCCCTGCTCCCTGCTCTTTATTCCTGGGGTCTCCCCTCCCTTGGATTCTCTCTCACCTCCCTCCACCCTCCATGGGGTCTCGGCCCCAACCCATTTGCAAACAGTTCTGCAAAATTCACTGCAGAAATATAAGGGGAAACAGTGACCAAAACCTCCTGCCCTGTCCAGGCAAGATAGTAATCACTTACATGACTTATCTTACAACTCAGAACTCACAAGTGACCACCAACCAGAAGAATTCAAGAAAGTCAAAAGGAGAGAGAAGACAGACACCAGTCCATATGTCCTACTGGCCGCCCAGAATCCTTCTTGCTGGAATCCATCATGGTTGAGCAATGTGTGTGCCACCGGCAAGGACCCTGAGTCAGAGGATTGGCCCCAGACAACCTGGAAACTAATCCCATCACCATAAAATCTGGGACTGTGAGCCACATGGCAGAGCAGTTCTCCTGGATTCCCTCACCCAGCTGCTCTCTGCCTGGGGGCCCCTTCCCAATAAAGTCTCTTGCTTTTTCAGTACATGTGTCTCCTTGGACAATTCATCCCCGAGTGTTAGACCCACTCTCGGGCTCTGAAAGGAGTGCCCATTCCTGCAATAGGACTTCAGGCAGAGACACATAGATCTGGAAGTAGCCTGAGCCATTTTACAGAGGAAAACGGGATTGGGAGAGAGGTAGGGGCTTGTCCGAGTCCCACGGTGAGCAAGTTTTGAATTTAGACCCGAGCCAGGGTGGTGGCCAACGCCCCCAGCAAGCATTTGCAGCCTTCACTGGCAGGGCTAGGACTAAGGTGAGGAGAGCAAGGCATTCCTTTCAGGTGCAAAATATAAGGGGTGGGGGCTGGGCACCAAAAATCTTAGTAGTCAGATACATCATATTTTAATGCAATATTTTTTAAAATTCTACGTCAATGCCATACAGATGGCTAACAAACACAGGAAAAGATGCTCAACATCACTCATTATCAGAGAAATGCAAATCAAAACCACAATGAGGTACCATCTCATGCCAGTCAGAATGGCTGGTATCAAAAAGTCTACAAACAATAATGCTGGAGAGGGTGTGGAGAAAAGGGAACCCTGTTGCTGTTGGTGGGAATGCAGACTACTACAGCCACTGTAGAGAACAGTGTGGAGATTCCTTAAAAAACTGGAAATAGAACTGCCACATGACCCGGCAATCTCACTGCTGGGTATACACACCGAGGAAACCAGAATTGAGAGAGACACGTGTAGCCCAATGTTCATCACAGCACTGTTTATAATAGCCAGGACATGGAAGCAACCTAGATGCCTATCAGCAGACGAAAGGATAAAAAAGCTGTGGTACATACACACAATGGAATATTACTCAGCTATTAAAAAGAATGCATTTGAATAAGTTCTAATGAGGTGGATGAAACTAGAGCCTATTATAGTGAAGTAAGTCAGAAAGGAAAACACCAATACCGTATACTAATGCATATATATGGAATTTAGAAAGATGGTAACGATGACCCTATATGTGAGACAGCAAAAGAGACACAGATGTATAGAACAGTCTTTTGGACTCTCTGGGAGAAGGTAAGGGTGGGATGATTTGAGAGAATAGCACTGAAACATGTATATTATCATATGTGAATCAGATCGCCAGTCCAGGTTCGATGCATGAGACAGGATGCTCAGGGCTGGTGCACTGGGATGACCCAGAAGGATGGGATGGGGAGGGAGGTGGGAGGGGGGTTGAGGATGGGGAACACATGTACACCCATGGCTGATTCATGTCAATGTATGGCAAAAACCACTACTATACTGTAAAGTAATTAGCCTCCAATTAAAATAAATTAATTCATTTAAAAAATTCTACATCAATGCAAAAAATTCCATGATGAACAACATATAAAAAGCTTTATTTTTTTTTAAAGGCAGGCTCACTACCAGTGCTGGGGTCCTATTAGAACCTGGGGTAAAAGGAAAAATCAGTGATAACATTAAAATATTATTTATCTTGATTTTGTGATTTCAGGCAGCTTTTTAAATCCCATGCTTGAGAAAAATGTCTCACTTGCCTGACCTTAGTCCCGGCCTTGTTGCTCTTGTATCTTCTCCCCAGACTGGGGTCCGCCCACTAGCCCAGACTCTCTCCACCCACCACTAGCACCATCCACCTTCCCACTCCAGTCTGATGACAAAGGCAGATCCTGATCCCTTCTCTCCCACCCTACATTCCGAGACAGAACCGAATACTCCCCACTCCTGGTCAGGGCCTGCCCAGCCCCCCCGGCCTCTGGTAGAAGTCCCCAGCTCCCGCATTCACCCTGATGGTTCGCCCCCTTTGTCCCCTGAGGGCTGAGCCTGAGCCTGCAGTGGGCTGTGTTGACTCCCTCATGGGCACACTCCCCCTGTCACATCATGAGGGTCTTTCTGCTCTAACTGGGCCAAGCTCCAGGCTCCGAGCCCACCCCGGCCCTGTGCCCCCATCCCGTGCCCAGAGCTTGGAGTCAGCTAACTCGCTCCCGGAACCCAGGAGTGATTAGAACAAACCCAGTCATCTCTCTGGCCCCATGGAACTTGCAACACTTTATTAATCAGTAATTAAACTTCACAGTCTCCAGAGAGATGACGAACTATCTTTACCCTCATTTTCCAAATGAAAAACGCAGAAGCAAGAGAGAGGTGGAGGTCACCAGGCCCGCCAGTGGCTCCTGCAGGCTGAGCAGAGAGCAGTGTCCATGCTGACAGACCTGCTTGCTGGGCACAGTCAGTGGGCACCCGGCTGTGAGCTGTCCCCGGGGAGGGCCGCTCCGCTGGGATGACCAGAGCCTCTTCTAGAAGCGGACTAGGGACCCCTAGCCCTGGCTTGTCACTCACCCCTGCCTCTGCCACCTCCCAACACGGACACATGTATACACACAGAATGGAAATGGGGCTCCCACAGCCAACTCAGCCACAGGCAAATTAAAGAAACCGGTAACACCCTGTATAAAAATATCAGCCCTGCTGCCTGGCATTCTACCGCTATCCTAAGCCTGAAGCTGTGCTTTGTGCTTTGGTCTTTCAGTTCCTCCTTGAAAGCACGCCACGTTTTATTCACACTGAATTACTTATGGTTTCCCCAGCACACAGGGTCCTGCTGGGGTCTGCCCATTCCTCACCCTGGCTCACCCCTTCCGCTGATGAACTCTGCAGCCCTCAAACATCAGGTCCAGAGCCCCACCCCTTGGCAGCATCCTCCCTGACCCTCCAAGGCCAAGCAACTCTGTGACCCATCCATGCACCCAGGTCCCCTCCATACACACACTAGACCCTGGCAATCGAGAGCTCAGACTAGTGCCAAATGCATGGAATTGCCTCCGAGAAGCACTTACACACCAGGGTTCTAATTAGATGGCAAATACACCAGCCAGAAGGTCTTAGCCTTGAATCTTAATGTCTTGGGGTTTCACAAGGAGTGGGCAAATCCAGATTCATCACGAAACCAAAGCAAATGCCACTGCACGACGCCTGTCCTTGGCTGACTGTCTATAACCCCGATCCTCACCTCTCATGGATGCGCTGGTTCACAAAGTCATTTTCTCCCAAAAGAGGGCTTGGGTTTGCATTATGCCAAGAAATAGGTTTCTTGAAATTCCCCAACCAACTT